TGGAATGTCCAGTTTGAATGTAGGGTGATCAGATTCTTCAGTGATACTTGCCAGAATATCATGGCCCAGCCTGTCCAGTCTCCCTGCTCTTGTCACCCTGACTCCCTCCTTTACTGCACCATGAGGAGTGTGTGGTCCACCCATGTAGATGCCTCAGCCTCTCGTCACTTTCCCTGACCCCAGTCCCTTGGCAAATAGATGCTTCTAGGCCACCCTTTGAGCCTGGGGAGTGCATATACATGATACTTCCTTGGGAGTTTGAAACCAGAGTAGAGGCCTTAAAAATTAGGTTTCGGAAGCCTGTAATCCCAGCAACTTGGGAGGCTGAGGCACTAGGATTGAAAGTTCAAAGCCAGCCTCAGCAACTTAGTGAGGCCCTTAGCAACTTAGCAAACAAGACCATGTCTCAAAAAAATAAAATAAAAAGGACTGGGGATATGAAAATGCCCCTGGGTTCAATCCCTGGGACAAAAAAAAAAGGGGGGGGGGGGTTAGGTGCAGTCTGTAAGAAAGCAAGATATGATAAGTATTCCAAGTAGGACTACCCCCATGGTGGCATGACTAGAAGAGGCCCAGAGTGGAATTCTTGAAAATGCTGAGGTTCCTTTCGCCCATGTCTAAGTCTGGTAGTGAGTAGAACTTTCCGATTCTCCCATATAAAAGTAGCAGGTGAAATGCTGTGATAATTAATTTTAATGTCAACTGGACTGGACCAAAGAATGCTCAGCTAGGTCATTAAACATTTCTTTCTTTCTTTCTCTCTCTCTCTCTCTCTCTCTCTCTCTCTCTCTCTTTCTTTCTTTTAATTCTTTTTCTAGTTGTCAATGGACCTTTATTTTATTTATTTATATGTGGTGCCCCACACATGCTAGACAAGTGCTCTACCACTGGGCTACRGCCCCAGCCCATTCAAAAACATTTCTATGTAAGTCTGTGAGGGTATTTCTGGAAGATAGTAACATTTGAATTGATGAACTGAGTGAAGCAGAYAGCCCTCTCCCTTGTGGCTGGGCATCATCCAATCACTTGAGAACTCTGGGCTCTCCTGGTTTCTCAGGCCTTCAGATCGAGACGATAATTTATACCATTGGATTTCTGGCTCTCAGGTACCTGACTATACCACCAGCCTTCAGAGGTCTCCATATCCCTACACAGCAGATTACGGGATCTTCAGCCTCCATAACCACATCACCAGTATCTTATAATAAATCTCTCCCTAGAAATCTGTTACAGAGCTGGGCCCTTCCAAGAAACTGAGGCGATGTGAAAACCTTCTCTTCAAACCCCAATTTTTGTGACCTAGTCAGAAAGGTTTCAGACATATCACTCAGARTAATAGGAATGAGTTTATTGAAGGGATAGGAAAGGGGAAGGGGATACTCTCAAGGGAGAGAATGGGTCCTCTCAGAGAGAAGAAGGACAATGTGTCTGTCCTGCACTTCCATTTTATTGGGGATCCTAGAGAAGTTTCCAGAGAGTCCCACCCAGGTCTACCTCTTGACTTTTGACTAACAGCAAGACTTTCAAGTCCTCACTGCCATGGCAACTGTAGGTCCTATTGACCCATGCTGACTGGTTCTAATTGGATTTTTAACCATACATTCTTACAGATTTTATGGTTGGAAGGAATTATCCTTATCTCCCAGATTTCAGGACCACAAAAATCTCCTGGGTTCTTTCCACTGACATTATCTTGGGCCTGCATTTCTCCTGCAGTTAACAAGTAGTTTGCTGAGGAATGTGAAATATTCTGTTCACTGAGGCCAGGCAGGGCTGCAGGTAAATTGCTTCTTRGAAAAGAGAGCATGTGGAGGTCAGCACAGCAGGCCCATTTTATAGAATTATTTTCTTAGCTTCCTGTTACCACCACCCTCATCTGTCTGTTCCCTAACACATCCATCTATCCATCCATCCACCCACTCATCTTCTATTGGTTCAGTTTCTCTGGAGAACCCTAATACAGAAGTCATGCTATAGCCTTGGAGTCTGGAATTCCTCAGTTCTACACTTWTCAGGGAAGTTTCAGTCACCTGTCTTTGATTGAACCATATGGGGTTATATCACAAGTATCTCTGCCATCACCAGTATTAACTGAAGAACAAAAACCTTTCTTTTACTGCATTTAGTTAGCACTAGGGACGATTCCGGTTGACTTTAGAATCTGAGACTGAGGTAGRACCCCCACACAGGACAGAGAATTTCTCAATTCAATCCCCTTAGCTGGTGGGGGTCCTCAGACTCATACTACATTTGATTTAGAAAAATAAAGCACTATGGCATGTCCTGTACTCCACACATTGATACTGTAACAGAATCCTTTTGAAATTAAAAGCCCTAAAATAGTTCCCCCCAAACTTGCTGGTTATTGTTTTCTCAATCTCAGTGGAAGCTGAAATACTGCCACTAAAGTCCAGGTGGCTTGAGCAAAGGCTGAAAAACAGGAATTGTGACATTCTCTGGCTAGCACTGCCTAGATAAATCTATACATAGGTATAGTTACTGGCTTTTGTTTCTATAAAGTGTAAACTCCTCTATAGGACCTGCAGAGAAATTTACTTGCTTCTCCCTAGTTTTAGCCAAATTGTATTAAATTCATTTTTTTTTCCTTCTTAACTGCTTATTTTTCATGCAGACAGCCAATCCCAGTCAGCTGGGATCTGGGTAGGTCCCTAGGTTGGCTGCCAGTAACTACTAACAAATATAGAAACCATGTTAYCCAACTTCTGCAAATCCTCTAACACCTGCCGTGTTTGTTTCCCTTTGTGTATTAGTCATATACATTATCAAYGCACGAAATGGTTTATTCATCATTTGAGTTCCTAGCTGAGCTGATCAGTGTACACATCAGATCTTCAATAACGCACAGGTTGAGCTAAACAGAACATTTCAGAATTCAATTTAAAAGTGAAGAGTTAAAGACATATTACCTTGTTCCAATGTTTCTTAGAACTATTGGTTTTTCTTCTACTTCAATAATTTAGATGAGAACATTCAGCAAACTCTTTTAAATGAAGTAAATAAAGTGTRATCCTTTAAAATTCTGAATGTAAAGTTTCCAAAAAGAATTTTTGGTAAATTTCTGTGACATATAATTTTTCTTTAAGTATATGTAAAATTTAAACAGAATTAGAAAAATATTATAGGGAAACTGAGAGCCATGACACTTTTGGTATGTTTTGCTCTTTACAGTTTCAAAATGAACTTTTTTCTTCCTTTTTAGAACTTTGYGGTGTATGGGTACCTTTAATTCGAGGCAAGATCATATGCAGAAAATTAGCATTATAAAACACAGGATATAAGTAGAGTGTCTAAGTCATGAATGKGGAACCTAAACCATGGAAGGATGCTTTACAGTCACCCTAGGCTGTGTTTATAAATGGCCTAACAGACTTGACCATGACTTGGCAAAATCAGGCAACGGATATTTGAGTTAGGCAGCCAGCCAGGCTGTTGCAATGCTGCCAGATTGGCCCTTTAGGTCCCTGGGTTTCACATCCAAGTATTCAACCAACCACAGATTAAAAATATTTGGGGAGAAAATGCATTTGCATTAAACGTGGGAAACTTTTTTTCCTTGTCATTATCCTCTTAGCAATACAGAGCAAGAACAATTAAAATAGCATTTACATGTACTCAGTATTATAAGCAAACTAGTAATGATTTGAAACATACAGGAGGAATATAGAGATTATATGCAAACACTATGATATTGAAGAGAAGAGATAAAAGTGTTCTGCTTCTACAGGGAGTCCTGGAACCAATCCCTGATACCCATGGACTCAGGGATGACTATATTTTGGAGTTGTTGGGAATATARGAGAGGGGTAATAACCAATATTCCTAACAACCATAAAGGGCAAGGTCACCAACCAATTAGAATGGAAAAAGAGGGGGCCACCATAGTTTGGACACAAACTAGTTTTCTCTTGCTGTTCTCAAATGTCCTGCAACTACCTGGATGATCCACCTGTTCTTTCATGAGTCTGTCATCACCCAGATCCACGACCACCATCACAACTCTGATCTGGAGARGAAGCAGTGCAGAGATTTTAACAATGTCATCCCATGATGCTATGAAAGCACCTGTGAGTCACTATTTATTCAGCCTCTGGGACAAGGGAAAAGGGGGAGGAATCATGGGCAAAACAGTAATGAGGTGGTACCTTACACTTGCATTCTACTCCCTTCTCTGAAACTATAATATCAGGAAGAGCAAAGGAAGTTGCTTAAAAAAAAAAAAAGACTATGGATTAGTACAAATGTTTCTCAGCTGCTAGAATTTTTTTTAAAAAAAGAGGTTCCCTTCAAATCAAACAGATACCATCAGCTAACCCTAATTTTGTAACTGCTCTGAAGTCTGCAACAGTCTCCCATCCCTAGGACTAGCTATTTTGGCAGGAGATCTAGTGGATTTGTCCAGGAAGCCCTGCCAGAGACACCATAGGGGTTGTACCCGAGTTTGGTAGCATCCTGGCTCTCAGCCTTTGTTCCTCAGTTCTGTGTCTGAGAATTCGATGCCAAACACATAAATGAATACAATGACATTTCATCGTAAACACTTGACATGTGTTGTACTACTTCCTGAATTAGTTTTCCTTTCTACTGAGAAAATTTGTCTGAAAGGTAAACTTTAAGAAATCTTTAATGAATTCAAATGGGAAAAAGGCGGAGGGGGCATAGATCTTTGTGTTAAGCAGGCCTGTGTGAAATAAACCACTCTTAAGTTATTTAGAAAAAAGTCCATATACCAAGAGCAAGATGGGTGTTCAAGTTTCTACCATGGTGTATTGCATTCTTTACTCCAAGAGAGGGGGACCTTGTACAGCCTATTCTTTGAAACTAAAACAATTGCTTTTGCTTATTCTTTTCTACGATGCTTTTTAAAAGAAAATACAGCAGAGCATAAACAATAACAGCCAAGGCGCTGACAGCAAATGAGATTTTGTTTGCAATTTTTAATTAAGCAACCAGTGCAAACAATTTTTTTTTTCTCTTCAACATTCAGAGGAAAGAAAATGACCACACTTGGGGGCCTGGTGGAAAACCAGAAAATGCTTTCTCTTTTCAATCAGATTTCAAAGCAGCAGAATTCAGAGAGGCTATGCCCAGCCCTCAGTATTCCTCAGGATTGCTTGAGTGTAAGTCTCGCAAATATGAATCAATTATGTTTGGAGGCACACCTTGCAAGAGGAGCCTGCAGAAGGACAGCCCACCTATAAAGGACAGAGAGAAGGGAAAAGTCAAAACCATCTATGTGAAAAATCACTGAAATAATACTACTGCACTAGCTGCCTGGAAATGAGACTAATTATGATTTTATTACTACAAAGATTCATTCAATCCCTACTTGGAAATCTTCTCCAGGTTTAGTACATTTAGAATTTAAAGCCCTTGGCATCTAGACAGAAAAGCAAGTTCCCAGAAGACCCATAGCAGTTACTCCCCTTCTATTGTTCAATCTTAGTTTAAATTCCTAAATGGTAGAAAACACTTATTGTTCTTAGAGAGGTTTTGTGATTGCTCTATAAATGATTTAAAGGTTCTGGCACAACAAATGCATACCATGTTATGGGTCAGTGGGAAGATCTGTTTCCAGTTTGTTAATGCTCCTTTTAATTAAGCACAAAAAGTTCTGATTCAAGCAGATTGGAGAAGAAAAGACTCTTTCCTTTAACTTTGACCACTTCTAAACTGTCGAAAGTGCAAAAATTGGAACTATTTGGTTAAAAATAGTAGGAATGGTCCAATACCTTCTGAAGGTGAGAGAAATGCCTAACATTTCGTACCTACCTTCCAAGTTTCTGAATTTTTATATTAAAAAAAACAAAAGCCTCATTCAAATGAGAACCCACGAAACCACAAAACTGCACGGTCCTTCAATGAAGGGTTTTACTACTTGCTAATAAATTCATGTCCAGACAAAAAACAGCATGCTATTTGAAACATTCTTAAAACTTCTTTAATGCAAATTTGAGAAAGTCATTCTCCTTAACAAAATAAAAAGACTCAAGTCACATATTGGTAGAAATGATGCCACTTATGTACATGTCCATTCCTTGATGCAAAGAATGCAGAATGCGTGGGTATCAATCATGTCCATCTACATTAAATGCTTTGATTCATGCTCTATCACATTCAACAGTTTGTTTCATGTCACTAGGAGATTGTCATGATGAATAAGTACTAGATATTAATTTAAGATGCTGAAAAATACAAATTAATACTACAAAGTTAGCAATTTTAAGGAGTCTATTTTCATTGGATTACGTAATGAAAATCATGCCATACTCCACAGGCTTGGTATGGCTTATGATAGTCATAAGCTTCATATGCCAAAACCATATGAAAGCTTACCTTAGATGGCAATATACATTCAAACATCCTTATTGTGCTACAACTAAGGAAAAGAGAGAAAGAGAGAAAGAGAGAGAGAGAAGTTGTAAGCATTAATAAACTGCTAACACCCAAGTTGAGTACTGGTTGGATGAAATTATGGTCACAATTATGAGGAGTTGATTTCATTAATCCTTAGTCATGTGAAAGATGTGGGAAAATAGAAGCACATGGAATGAAGGGTGAGGATCCAGTCACTTCAAAAGGATCATTAATATGTAAAATATATATATTAATATGCACAACCACTCTACCAGAGAGGTGGCAAAGCCAATCTGATGGTATAGTGAATATTTATGGTAAGAGCTTCCAAACCATTAGCTTATGAAAAAAAAAAACCTACAACATATATATATTGTGTTTTTCATCAAAAGAAAAACATAGATATTTTACAAAATGTTAGTGTTCATATATATATGTTGAAATTCCAAAAGGCAAAATTATCAAGTWTAAATATTAGACTAATATATTTCATAATATTCTATCCTGAACTGATTATATATAAATGATGTAAACAAATGCAAGACTTAAACACAGGATACAAAGTGACAATATGTATAACAATAAAACTTCAAAAGCAGAAGTTAATTTCTTCTTTGTAAAACTAACTCTATGTCTGGAGATTCAGAAAGCAAATATTGTAAACTTAGGCAAAGTCTACATTAAAGGTCATAACAGATTGTCACCTGGCCCCAAAGAATTCTTAACTGGCTCTTTCAAATGGGGGTGAATTATACATACATAATAGAACTCATTTATTGCTTAAAACACTTTATAGTGGGTCTTACACTTTTCTTTCCTTTTAAGTTCATAGACATATAAAATAATTTGGGTCCCATGGAAATKACTAAATTGTCCAATGGATAGAGATGGATTACAAACACTCTACTCACAAATTTGTAATGGGACAATCTTAAATATGAGTTTCCAGATGTTGGGTCTATTTTTATACCCTCCATCAAAAATGTGCATAACACTTGTCTACAATTAAAAGGTTCTATTTTCTGAATTCTGTCCTTCTTTTAAGAAAACTATGCTGTAAATTATCTTAAAGGACAAATATATCTTTCTATATTCAAAAAATGAAAATACTAAATATATGCCATTGATTCCCAAGTTTTGATAATCTTATTATATAAGCTGAGGACCTCTTCAAATGTAGTGTTCTGATTTGACTCCTGGGGACCTGTGGTCTGGTACTTAGTTTTCTGACAAAGCTCATGGTTTCTACATTACTTGATATCCTTGAATAATTTGGCCTTCCTTGTTCATGGCATAAACACTGTATGCCATGAGCTGCTAAGAAAACAGAATTAAAAGCAAATGAGAAAGTCAAGCTTTACATGCAAAGTGCGTTTTCATGTAAGAGGAATGGAACGGAAAGTAGAAATATCCAGTGGGATATGAACTTTTTAAACCTGTTGCTGCCCCTCCAGGAAGACTGGTTGTCCAGGGGTATTTACTCCTTGATATATCACTGCAGAATCAGAATATTTGTACCAGTATTTATTTATTCTTAGTTGACATTCTTACCTTTTTTTTTACACAGCTTAACTTGATTCAAGTTACCTATTATCAGATAATAATCTGATGATAAAGAATCTCAGCATTACTTTTAGGACCAAAAGCTTTTTTTCAATACCACAGTTGATACCTTATCATGAACTTATAGGTTAAAATACATTATTCTGATTATTAAGTTCAACTACTATACAATTGACTATATGATTATTACTAAAAAGAATATAACATCCACATGCATAATACTGTTTGCTCTTATGGAAGGCTCCAAATATTGAACCATTTATAAAAGCATCATCAATGTCATTAGCAACATTCAATTTTTTTTCAAAGCATGAATAGGTGGTAATTTAAAAAAAAAATTTTGTTTTTGTTTTTTTAGAGGATGTCGAAATCCAAGTATCAACAACAACTTAAAACTAATAAAATGAGGAGTTTAGAAACCAGATGATGTGCAAACGTGACCTTAATCATCATTTAAAGCAAACAAAGTGGCTAAAAAATAATGTTTACATTTGTATGAATTATCTCAATTGTAAGGTTTGAAAAATTTTAAGAATATTATATGCCTGATGAGATAAAAATAAATTTTCGCCTATCACTTAGTTACAAGTCTGCATACCATATACCAGAGGACAGACAGAAATCATATGAGAAAGAAAACTGTTTTTAAAAAAAGTTGTAAGAAAGAAGTTATTTTGTTCAATAAGTTTCTTATACTACATTTAGGACTACACAGCTAAATAACTCTTTAAAAGAAACATTAATACCCTGAGCATTTACTATGATTTTATTTTTATTTGTTTTTTTTTTCTTTTTCTTTTTCTTTGTACCAGGATTAAACCCAGGGGCACTTAACCACTGAGCCACATGCCCAGTCCTTTATTATTATTATTAATTTTGAGAAAGGGTCTAGCCTAGGGTTTGCCTAGGGCAAACTTGCAATCCTCCTGCTTCATCCTCTAGAGTCACTGGGATTACAGGCATGTGCCACCATACCCAGTTTACTATGATTTTCTAAAATAGATATTTACAAAGTCATTTTTCTGACTTTTGGATTACAATTTTTTCATTATAAAGAAATAAGAGGGTTCGGGTTGGTCCTCAGTGATAGAGCACTTGCCAGGCATGTGTGAGGCACTGGGTTCAATTATCAGCAGCACATATAAATAAGTAAAATAAAGAAATAAAGGTCTATTGACAACTGAAAAAGTATTTAAAAAAATAAATAAGAATAAAAGACATTAGTTATCATAGAATAGCAATATGATACAGTGACGGATGAGAAAAAACACATTAGGATCCTGTCACCTAGTATCTCCTAATGAGGATTTTCTGCAGGAGTTCTCATAGTGTCCCAAAGTAGGTTTTTATTGCCAAGAAAAACTTCAAAACAAAGACTCTAGCCAATTAACGAGAAAACTAAGATGACTGTTCATGCTGAGACTCTCTTATCACAAAAATCCTTATGTTTTCATGGTTTATATAAGTTGCCACATTTCTTAAAACTAATGCCAATGAAATGTACAAGTAAAAATTCTCTAGCAATTTTAAAAGCAACGGATTATAATATGTATATGCTATATTCTATTATGTGTATAATCAAACACTAAATTAACAAACTTAGTCTATATAGATTAAAAGTTTCACAGATAAGTAAACCAATTAAAAATAATATGAATTCCTTAGCTTCAGTTTCATTAGATGAATTTTTGCAGTAGGCTTCTATTTATAGATAGACTACATCACCAAAGTAACGTGTTCATTGTATTTATTCTCAGCATGCTGTACACCCATTAACATTTCACTAAAGCTAATATTCCTTTAGTTAATAGGAAATAAGAAGAGATAAAAATAAACCAATTTAAATAATCAAGTAGTAGCCTTTAACAAATAAAGCAGAGTGGAGGCAGAATATAAAAATGTCTCCTCTCCCTGAATCCCCCCTCCCCCTTCTCTTGCTACTGCTACCATTACAACTGCCCCAGTTGCAGCATTTTGGCAAAGAGCTTGGATTTCGCATTAAGAATCATAATTACACAATGTTCCTTTGCTTTGGTCTATACATGAGACGGTGGGTGGCATACCTTTCACCTCCAGTTTGCATTCGATCTCCACTGTCCCCAGGTCATTGACCGCTTTGCAGCAGTAGGTGCCTCCATCATAGGGGCTCGGCTTGCGAATCTCCAGAGTACAGACTCCCTGGTTGCTGAACATCCTGTATCTTGGATCATCCACAATAGCAACTTTGTTTTTCATCCAGGTTATTTTGGGCTGAAGTTCAGATTGAAGAAAGTGAGGTCAAAACCTATCTGTATGTAGCACATTCAAAGACCATCAAAGCCAGTGACAGAATTTTAACGCATAGATTAGAAAGAAAGCACACTGAAGACTACACATCTACTTGGGCAGTGTATCTCTCAAATTACATTCCACTTAGTGGTTGGCAAGAAAGCAAGTGGGTAGTTCTGAAGGAGAAAGTCAGATTTGTTCAGGGGACATTGCTAGGGCAATCTTCCCAGATGGATTCTGTTGCATTTCAATTTGATCTATGTGGATACAAACATTTAGGTGTGAGCTGAATGAGTTTGGGGCATCCAGTGTACAGTGTGCATGGTGATAGATGTGTTAATTGTGATAATCATTACACAATATGCATGACATCTGAAGTCATCATCAGTGACAGTGGCTCTGCTCCCATCAGACAATGCAAGATCAGTTCCAACCCAGTCCCCCAGAAAGTTGATTTCATGCTCTGTGACTTCTGAACTGCACTTGAAATCCTTGATTCTCTACTCCCTTCTTCTGTCTACTCCTCCACTCTCTGAACACCTTCCTCAACACCTTCCACTTTTTATAATATTTTGTCTTGCTCTGAACCTAGATATGGCACCGTTCCTATCTCTTTCACGCAGTCCTCTTCTTCCTTCCAAATGGGAGCGTTCCCTTACGCTCACACCTTGGTCCTTGGCTTTTCACAGTACCCTCTTACCTCAGTGATAATCCTTTCTAGAGCTTGGGCTCCAAAGGGTGAAATGTAGCACCTCCACACTGGGCCTCCCAAACTGACACCAACAGCCCTGGATGTTCTCCTAAGCTCTGGATGAAACCTCTGATCTGCCTCCTCATCCTTCCGCACATCACTTCCATTTACACATTAATTCAGGGTCTTCCTTGTGTCCTATCTGGCTTCTCCCTTTGACTTCCCTATCTCTGTTGGCATATGCAGGAAACACACTACTGTTGTAATTTCCCAGATTCTAGGGCACTTTTCCACAGTTGCACCCAGGGACATAGTTTTTCATGGACAACTTTGTTAATTTGTTGTTATTTTCAAATGTCAACAACACGAAAACTTAAAACCTTTCTAAAGCTCTTCAGTGATCTCTTCCTTCTTTGTACTCTGCATTCTGCCTTGCATTACAGCATAATTGTTATTTACTTTAATCTGTTATAGAACTCTTTCTTTTCTTTTTTTTTTTTTTTGACTCTTGATGAGTCAAAATCACCACCTAATTTTTCAGGTGACTCAACATTGCTTTATTTTATTTACCTCTCGGTTCTTTCAAAATTAGGTGGTTTCCTTTTTCTTTTTCTTTTAGTAAAGACAAACATTTTTTTCCTACTACTTTTTTTTTTTTTTTTGGTGCCAGGATTGAACCCAGGGATGTTTAACCCCTGAGCCACACACCCAGCCCTTTTTATTTTTTTATTTGAAGCAGGGCCTCCCTAAATTCCTGGGCCTGGCCTTAAACTTGTGGTCCTCCTGCCTCAGCCATGTAATGCCTGGCTTTTACTACTTTTGAATAGTGAACCTAATTATCCACAAACACTGCTACTCTCCATTCCCCACATCCCAAAAAGACACAAATAGTGGTTAGAAGGTTCATTTATAAAAGTGTTAACCATTATAACATGGGAATATAAAAGAGGGACCTCGAGGTCMATTCCTCAGTTTAACTAACGTGATAGAACAGTATGGTACCTTGGGATTTCCTCTCACACTGCAGTTCAGGGTGGCGTTGTAACCAGCTATAGCATAGGTGTTAACCAAAGGCTGAGTAAACATGGGCGCCTCTGTGAAATCAAAGTCTTCATACACTGGATTTTTGTAGATTTTGCCTTAAAAACAAGTATTAAAATATGTTCAAAAGTACAAATTGGCTTGAGACTATATTATTCTTGGTATGCTTCACTCATGATTAAAACTTCCTTGAGCTTAGAAATAACACATGGCATACATTCAGAAAATGTACAGCCAAYCATTACACACAAGATGGAAAGCCAGAATGGTCATCTGACTCTAAAACAAATATTGACAGGATTGKTTTTTTCCCCAAGAATTTTGATCAGAAATGTGTTCTAATGTGAATATCAGGAAGGGCTTTAGAGGGAGAGTGATTTATGACAAAATGAAAGGTTAAAGATAGAATTCAGCTTCTCCTTTCTTTGCTGAGTGGGTCTCATGTGTAGCTATATTGAAAGTGTCCAAGAATCAAAATACCAGAAATCCARGAAGTAAATGTCTACTTTTTCCTATCCCAGTGACATTAGCCATTTAAAGCTCCATGGCCCAGAAACTGGAATCAATTAAAGCCTATATTTTAATTTATTTTTATTTTATTTTTTGTGCCAGAGATTGAACCCAGGGGCACTTAACCACTGAGCCACATCCCAAGCACTTTTTATATTTTATTTTCAAACATRGTCTTACTAAGTTGCTTAGGGCCTCATTAAGTTTCTGAGGCTAGCTTTGCACTTGAAATCCTCTTGCTTCAGCCTCCTCAGCTACTGGGATTACAGACATGTGCCACTGCTCTTGGCTTAAAGCCTTCATTAAAAAAAAAAATGCAATGATAATGTAATATCCCTTGAATGATTTTGCCTGTAAAATTTAAATTTCACTTGAACATTTTTATCATAATTTTCCAATAATAATTGTTTCCATAGTTTTCCCCTCACCACATCTCCGCTTCTTTCAGCCTTATCCATCTAATCCCTGCCCACCTAGTTTTCTGGATGTCACTCCATTCCCGACTCACCATCCTTGGCAATCACAGCGCTCTCTTTTGTCATTGTCGCATCCTCGCTGAGGCCACACATGTTCTCAGCAAATACCCGGAAATAATATTCATTCCCTATGACCAGTTCAGTGATGGTAGCATTGGTTCGGTGATAATGCTCAATGACAGTGAACCATTCCTGAAAGAAAAAATGATAACAGTTTGAGAAAAATCAACTAAAAACACACAACTCTTCCAACTGTTGTTTAGAATAAATAACAAGTTTGTTTCATTAATGAAAAAAAAAAGAGTACTAGTTTTTATATTGAGAGTTACAACAAAGTACACGTGGCTTAATATTTTACAATTTGRTTATACTTGACTATGAAATTCAATCTTCATGTACACATTAGATTCCATATACCTAGATGTCATTTTCTACCAACTTTATATTTTTTCATAACCGTACCATGTCTCTCATTTACTTATCTACCTACTTCTCTATCCATCTTTTGTAGAACAAAGTATAATTTTAGTGCCAACTTCTCTATTGATAAGATATGGAACTAAATTACCAGAGGAAAATTAATAGCATCCAGTGAATTTTCCAAACATCATTGACAGATTCTTCCAGATATCACCCCTTCTCAACCACCTAACCTCATTGGACACACTTTTATCACCTTAGCTAATTAACTTAGCTAATTTCTAACTTAGCTAATTTCTCCCCACAACACTAGCTACCAAAATTATATATGTATAAAAATATATGTATGATATATATACATGAAAATTAAATATATACAAGTTATATATATTATAATATCTATTTACTCATTTTACTTGTTTCCTCTTCATATTCCCTCCTTGGAAAGTGCACTCCACAACATAAAACCTGATTTGCTTCTCAACTCTTTGTACCAATAGTGCCCATCACAGGTTTGTTTTTGTTTCCTCACCAYAACACAAAACATAACAGTTTCTCTTGCAGCTGGATGAAACCACATCATACCATGTTTCATTACTAATAATTGAGAAAATATATGTGCTAACAAAATGTCACTTTATCAAGAAAAGCATCTTCCTTGGACACTCAGAGGCCTTCATGATCTATGATTTCTGGATATTTYAGACAGCAGATAGTTATATCTTTCTCTATTGCCAAAGCACTTAAATGCAAACCTCCATTCTAACATTTACTATATTGTGTTACCATTTGGCTTCATGTCTTCCTTCTTGCCTTGACTATGAGTGCCCCAAGAGTGGGAGTTGTCTTTTAAAAAAAATTATATGGAAAAAATTAAAAAATTAAAAAGTTTGATTCAGCAGCTACAATAGTGCTCAATATATGGTCAGAGATGAAAAGTGAGTGTTTGGGCACAGAATAAAAATAATGTTGACTGGGAATTTAAGTGGAGAACAGCATCTGCAGTTGTGATGACACAGGGATGAGTCGATTTCCTTGGGRGTGGCACTGGGAGGAGCAGCATCTTGTGGTCTCTTGGTCTGTCCCTGCCRGAATGCAACTGGAATACATGGTGGTGGGGGGTGTCCTAGGCAGATCTCAGTCACAAGGAGTGGCAATAAAGTCCTAGCTCTCCAGGATTTGACTGGATACCCATGTTCTCAAGAAGGCAAGTGTTGGGCAAGTATGCAGAGGGTGGAAGAACAGGGAGGCTCTGCAAGGAGCCCTCTGGGTTCACTGCCAGTATCAGGCTAAGGTCCAGTGGAAAACTCTTATTGCTAAGAAGCTGGAGACGTTCAGATCCTTCCTTCGCAAGGTCATCTATYGGTCCTGCTTTCAAGCTGTCCAGGTTTCCATGAAAGATATCACTTTAAATACCAAATCTTATTTTGACATGTAATCCCTACAGGGGTGGGGCAGGAGTGTGGGGACAAGCCATGCCTGTCACAGAAAGAAGTGGCTGAAACTTCTTTTCCTCAARAATGTCTTTTCCCATACTTTCTCCTTCTATGAATCCAATGTAACTGCCAGACCTAATTTTCTTACTGAGAACTAAAAGAACAAATGCATAGACTTTCTATCTACATCATTTGGTATGATATTTTACCATAAGATGAAAAATGCTCTAAGTCACCATGTCCACACATTGATTTATTCATTCATTCATATACAGGTCAGTACTAAGGTGTAGAGTATGGGTTCTGATTCAGACACKAATGGCTAATTTCTGGTGATCTCCAACAAGCCACAGATCCTATATGAGCTTCATTTACTTCATCTGTAAAATATGGGTTATAATAATTCATACGCCAACTAGGTTGCTCCTTGAACACATTGTAATATTTTCCTCTTTAGGATCTTAGCTTAGGCTGCACATTGTAGAATATTTCTTTTCAATCTTGCTTTTGTCTCCATTTTTTTTTAAAGACACAAGTCTCCACAATCCAACATTTGTTTCACAAGAAGAAAAGAGTTGCCAGCTACAGATTTGAGTCAGAATCGCTTTGAGTGAGTAAATATTTGTTGAACTTTACTAAGCATCRCACTAACTGCTTTATTGTTTAGCTTTATAATAGATAAGTGAGGTATGTATCTGGGCCTCCATTTTATAGATAAGGAAAATGGAGACCAAAGAGGTCCRGTGATTGATGACATGCATGTGGCCTCAAGTGACCTGGAGCCCGACTCTGTGGCTCCCAATGTGCTACTTGTTCTGCTYTGCAACATCACTTCTCCGTGGCTCCACAGTCTCCTCACCTGGCAGAACCTCACACCACCCCACCACCTCTCATGAGAGGTGATTTTGCTCCTGCCACTGAACAGAGAGCACCAGCCCTTACCATGCTCTTCTTGTCAGCCTTCTGGATCGTGTACCCTGTGATGGCCGCATTTCCATCATCCTTTGGTGGTGTCCACGTTAGAGCCACRTTCTCTCCCCAGACGTCTTCAATCTTCACAGACTGGGGTGGACCTGGACGGTCTACAGGATGGATTCACAGCATCACTGTGAGGTCCTTTTCCCTGCCAGTCTATACAGTTACATCTTAAAGTGTCCTCCTTCCTTTTGCCACAGGGAGGCGGAGCTCTTCCACACCCTAACATGAGGGGCATCTGAGACCCTGGGCCTTTGGTCAGAATGGAGCAGGACCAGATCCAAGGCCACAGAGCAACACTCCTGTCAGCAAAAACTAGAGAGGTTTAGCCACAGGGAAGAGGGCTTGGTTATAGGGCATGTCCTTTCACCCGAGGAGAGGCTCATCAGAGGCCCTTTGGTTAGAGAACCTCAAKTTTTAGCAAATTGACTGAAATATAATAAAAATTATTGGAGGGATAGGGTTGTAGTTTTGTGGTACAGTGTTTGCCTAGCATGCATGAGGCTCTGGGTTCAATCCCCACCCAGCACCATAAGAATAAAAATACTGGAAACGAGACTTCTCCTAGCTCTGCTCTTAAATATATTTCTTGACATCAAGAGAGTTATAGGGGCTGGGTGCACAGCATATGCCTGTAATTCCAGTGGCTCAGGAGGCTGAGGCTGGAGGATCCAGAGTTCAAAGCCAGCCTCAGCAATTTAGTGAGGCCCTTTCTCTAAATAAAATATTTTAAAAAGGGCTTGGGATGTGGGTCAGTGGTTTAGTACCTCTGGGTTCAATTCCCGGTATGAGAAGTAAAATAAAATAAAAATAAAAATAAAATTTAAAAATAGACAGTTATAGAWCAGTTTAATAAGCGAGTACACCCCAAAAGGATCTCTGTTCTATTCCCCTAACTCTGGGCAAAAGCAGGAACTAACCTTTTTCTTTGTAAGCATCTAATAAGCCCTGAAGGAGCAACCCATTCAGTGTTTAACTGTTTAATTTTGTTTAGGTTCATCTTCCTTACATTTAACAAAAATTCCTCATTTCCCATTCAAACTTTTAAAGAGATTTTTAGGTATAGTAAGAAACATGTTAAGCTACATCCAGAATCTACAWTTTTTTTAAGGCAAGAATTCAATATATAGAGTAGATTTATCATTGGGGAATTRGGAAACTCAGAGAGAGCTTGTTTGCTAAAGTTGTACAGATAGATTTCACCAAAAAGTACATACATTRATTTTCTTGAACACATGTGCCCCAAATCTTTTATGATTAACATTTTTAGTCAGTGAAAAGTTATTTTGAAATGCTAACAAATCTTAACAATTTATATATTTTTTTAATCTTAAAAAATTTTATGTAAAGGTAACCTAACRAAACTTTCCATTTCTCCCCTAATGTCATGGACATTTAGTTCCCACACTATTCTGACAGAACATTCGAGTTTCTTCCTCCAAACCTACCAACAATCTGGATGTCGATGGATGCGGTTTCCACATATTTTTCCACTTTGACCTGCAGATCGTATTTCCCAGAGTGGCTTCTCTCCGCTTTTCTGATAAATATGATTGTATCAGTCTCAGAGTTGCGGATGTTTATTTGATTCTTATCAATCTCTGCACCATCCTTCTTCCAAGTTAATTCTGGTCTTGGTTTTCCCTAAATAGACAAAAGAAGTAGAGGGGAGAAGGTGGATTGCCTGAGTGTAGTTTTCAACATGGCAGGAATGAATGACCATGGGCAAGGATGGAAAACACCACCCTTGGAGCCTTGGTGGGGGTGACAGTAGCAGGAGAGCCCCTGCCTGTGGGTTGCCTCTTGGGTGCAAAGCATGTGCGTGACACTTATTATCTCCCTTGATCTTCACATCAAGATAAGTATCATCAGCCTCTTTCTCTATGTAGGGGAGTTAAATGATTTGGCAAGGCCTGGCAGCTAAGTGTGCTAGAACTAAGTCTCTTTTGGACCTGCACTGCTCCATAGTCTGCACAAATAGGCTACTCGTCCGGAGCATGAGCTCTGAAGCCCTGCACTCTATATTTGGATCCTGACCATTTAATAGATGTGCAATCTTGGGCAAATGACTGCTACTCTCTGTGCCTCAGTTTCCCAATCTGTAAAATAGAAATAATAGTACTTATCTTACAAGATGGTTACAAAAGTTGAAGACCTACCAAAATTTCTGCATACTCAGGAATGTTTTATTAATATAATCTAAAGGATAATGATTAGTATACACTATATTGTGCTGCTCACCTCAGACTTGCTTAGAATTCTCTCTCTGCTCTCTCTACCTGCTGATGCTATTTTTTTTTAAATTTATATCTGACAGCGGAATGCATTACAATTCTTATTACACATATAGATATTTTTTATATCTCTGGTTGTATACAAAGTATATTCACACCAATTCGTATCTTTATGCATGTACTTTGTATAATTAATGATCATCACATTCCACCATCATTTATAACCCCATGCCCCCTCCCTTCCCCTCCAACAACTCTGCCCTATCTAGAGTTCGTCTATTCCTCCAGACTTAAAAGATAAATTTCAATCTGATTCAAGGGCATGAATTTCAGTTTCTATTACAAAGGAATGTCCTAGAATTTCTGATCACCCAGGCTCACTCCTGCAGACAAGAACTAAAAGTTAACTCAGAAATTAATTCAGTAATTCGTTAAAGGCACAGTTTTCCTAATGTGTTCCAGACATGGCTCGTGGCTGGCTGGGTTATGACACAGGATGTAGATACACATTAAACTCCTGCCCAGGGAGATTAAAGAATAATTGGGGTTGCTCACACTTGCAGAGAACAATGTAGGTCCCAGTGGCTCAGGAGACTGGGGCAGGAGGATTGTGAGTTCAAAGTCAGACTCAGCAAAAGCGAGGTACTAACTAAGCAACTCAGTGAGATCCTGTCTCTAAATAAAATACAAAATAGGACTGGGGATGTGGCTCAGTGATTGAGTGCCCCTGAGTTCAATCCCTGGTATCCCCCCACCAAAAAAAAAAAAAAAAAAAGGACAAACAGTTCCACATCTTCTTTCTTTAAAGGTACAGCTTGCTGTGAGCTACAAGAGAAAAACTGAGTTCTCTAATAACTTATGGAATGGCAAAAGCAAGCGACAGGGGACAAGAACTCTGCTGTAGGCACTACCATTTACTTGTTGTGTGGCCTTGGGCAAATCACTTAACTTCTCTGTCAATTTCTTCCCTCCTCAAGTGAGGGTAAGGATATCTACCCTTCCTGCCTCACTGGGCATTTCTGCTACCCTGAGCTGCAGCCCCTGCTTCACTGGGTGTTTCTAAGGATCAGATGAGGAAATGTCTGAAGCTCTAGAGGGTATACAAACATGGCACACAATTCTCATGGTCCCTTCCTGGTGGCCGAGAGGCTCCTGGGAAGCCCAACCTACGAGTCCCTGTTTTCATGCTTTCTCCTTTCCCAGACCCAGTGATGGAAGACAGAGACCCCCAAGATCTTGGAGGCTGAATCAGCCCTGGTGGTAGAAATGATCTGGAAACGGGAGGGCAGGGTCAGCAGCCAGCTCAGAGTAGGGCTGTGGCTGGCACTGGGTCTCCCGCCTGCTGTGACATACTCCCTTAGAGACTAGGAGGAAGGAGGTGGGAAGAGCCTGGCCAGCTCCTCCCCTCCCTGCTGGGCTCTGCCCAGTTGCTTTCTTTGGCCTTTGCTCTGATTTCAGGTGCTGTGTCTGCTGTACCACCTTTCTAAGGCTTGGGCCTGGATGCAGTGACAGGATCAGAATTAGCTGTCCCTTTAGCTTGGCTTTCATGGGAACCTGGGTTTGAACAGAGCTCTGTGAGTGTGTGTGTGTGTGTGTGTGTGTGTGTGTGTCTGAGTGTGCACATGTGTGCAAAGACCTAAATTCTAATTCAAGACCATGCTGCCTGATACAATAGACATGAGTTACACATGACTATTTAAGTTAGAATTAAAGAAAATTAAAAATAAAAAAACCTCTTCCTTAAACTTGCATTAGTTCCTGGTGGCTACATACATAGAACATCACAGAAGTTCTATTGAACAGCACTGCCTATTGTGTTCCATAAAGGTAGTCACGTGATTAGGGAGGTGGAGGGCTCTGAGGCTTTGGGGCAAGGCCCAGTGGGTGTGCACCTGTGTACCTGTGAGACCCAACCTGATTACTATAAGCAAAGCCTGGTTAATCTTGAGAGCAACAGCTCAACCATTTAACAGTGAGCACATATTTTAGTGGCCTTAAGATTTCATATCTTGGTTCTCTCTCTTATTGGAATTTTGCTTGGTTCAGGGTCATGTGGGAACTAAGTGTGTCTTGTTTTCTTTTCTTTCTTTTTTTTTTTTTTTTAAGAGAAAGTGAGAGACAGAGTCAGAGAGAGAATTCTTTTTAATATTTATTTTTTAGTTCTCGGCGGACACAACATCTTTGTTTGTCTGTGGTGCTGAGGATCGAACCCGGGTCGCACGCATGCCAGGCGAGCGCGCTACTGCTTGAGCCACATCCCCAGCCCCGTGTCTTGTTTTCTTGAATGTTACACTGAGAGTTTCACTTAAAAGGATGGGTGTTACGGAGAGCTAGGACCAGAGAGGCCGCCGGCCATTCCTTTATCTGGTATCTCTTCAATGTTCCTCTCCCGCCCTCCAAGCTCCCTGAACTTTGGGCAAGACTAGATTTCATTTGTTTCATGCAGAAAAAAAAAATCTGACTATTTTGTAGGTTTCTCTACTTTTATGTTAGGAGATCCTTTAATCACTCCTTCCATTATGGACTCACTCTCCCTCTGAGGATATCCTGAATCATTTAAGTGCTAGAATAGCCTCAACCCCTGCTCTTAAATACCCCATGCCTTGAAAAGGAAAATGAGGGACCCCTGGATTATTACCTGGAAAGGTATAACCAGATTGACTGCTTCTCCAACTCTGCGGATATAGGTTTGCTTCAGGTGCCTCGGGATGCGAATCTTTGGAGGCTCTGGGGGAAAGTAAAATAGTATAATTTTGAATCAGCACAGTATTCTGGAAATGGCCTTGCTTAAGCCCAATGGCACAGTGATCCCTGGTCTCTCCTTGTGGTCACAGCTCTGCAACACAATCTCGGATGTGTCATAAGCTTATATATGGCAACTTTGGTCAAAATGGTATTCTTTAAGCAGAGATGTTTTATTTTGATTCCACAAAATATATCCCTGACCTCCCTAACTTTAGCATAACTTTGTATTTTTATTGTCATTTAGACCTAAAGCAACTTTATAAAAAAAATCACCAAGTTTTCTCTCTCTCTCTCTTTTTTTTTAATAGTTTCTATCAGTAAGAATGCTCTCCAATGAACCTTCCAGAAAAGACTTACAAGCACCACTTTAGCTGGTAGGACTGTCCATTATTTCTCAGTATGGGGGGGGGAACAGTTTGAACATCTAGCATTTGCTATTTAGATGATTCTGTTCAAGTTTGATAGTTACTTTCTCCCTGTGTGACTCTGGTGAGGTATTCAACGGACAGACCTGAGTGTTAAAATTCATTAATTAAACACCATAAAGATACTAGAAAATGCTGATGCAAACCCAGGAGCAGGAAGGCTAAGACTCACAGGCTCTCAGGKATAAAGCATTTCTTAGGATGTTACAGGATTACAGGTGTGTGTCATGGCAYCTGAGACTCAGCTTTCTATTCTAGATCAATCAGACAGTGGGTCTGGTCTCAGTCTTCTCTTAAGTAAAATGGAGATGACAGCAGCATACCTAATTCTAATTCAGAGCATGTTGTGAGAATTAAATGAAGTCATCCATGAAAGCATTTAACACAATGGCTGAGAATTTAAGAGCTCAATCATGTTTTGGAGATGGTGATGATGATGATGGTGACTAAATGTTAGGGCTGGAAGGAAAATTGTAGGTCCTTGAACTCCCTAACATTACATATGAGGAAATAGAGACCCAGCAAGATCCCATAACAAATTAAACAATAATAATAATATAGCTGATATATATTGAAGGTTTTCTATATGGCAAGGTCAGTGAAGTAAACAACATGGACTAATTTATTCAGTTCTCATAACCTGTTGATGTATTATTATTGTCCCTATTTTACAGATGAAGATATTAAGGCCTTAAAAAAATCATGTATTTTGTCCAAGGTCACAGAGCCAATAGATGGCAGAAACAGGATTAAACCTAAGCAGAATGATACCAGAATGGACTAAGAAAATGTATATGCTTCATGCTTTCTTTTATTCATCCTCATTTCCATCCAACCATCTGTTCATCCATCCACTACCCACTTATCTGTCTGTCCATTTCCTAACTCATTCCCAAAAAGGTTTTAGGAAGTCACATGCAATCTATGGTAAAACCTTATTGCAACCCAGATATCCAAGCTCTCTATCCAGTGTTTTTTCCTCTAGATTGGGGTTCTTAAACCTTTTGGTCTCAGCACTCTATTACAGATTAAAACTTACAGCTGGGGATGAAGCTTAGTGGTAGATCACTTTTCTAGAATGCATGAGGCCCAGGGTTCAGTCCCTAGCACACACACATAAATTATTATAGACCTATGAAAGCTTTTGTTTATGTGGACTGTGTTTATTATCATATAGAAATTAAAACTGAGTTTTGAAATGTTTACTGGTTCATTCAAAAACAATAGTGTAAATAATAAATAACCATATTTTATATTTTTAAAAACTCAACAAGGTCAGTTGCATTGTTTTATATTTTGGCAAATTGCTTTAATGTCTAGCTTAATAGAGGAAGTCAAATTTTCATGTTTGTTTCTACTTGTGGACAGTTGTAAATATTGGTTGAAGTATATAAAGGACAACTAGTTTCACACAGATGAAAGAAATATTTTAATAATTTTTTCAACAATTTGGATACTTCTCTTTGAGTCCACACAAAACACGGTGAGTGTAGTTTTCTAAAGATTAGCTACAATGTGAAGTTTGAAATCATTTCAATGAACTTTTTCATATTTTGTCACATTAAAATCCATTGTCTATTTTGCATTTTGAATATGCTTTTTTCCCCTGGCATGAATGTTTTTTAAGATGATARGTCTTACTATGTTGCCTAGGCTGGCCCCAAACTTCTAGGCTCAAGCAATCCTTCTGCCTCAGCCTCCTAAGCAGTTGGGGCTAGAGGCACATGTCACTGTGCCCAACTTCCTTGCATGATTTTGTAACATATATTAGTAATTTGGAAAGTTTTACTCCACTGAATTTCCAAATGCTAAAATACAATTGCTTCATACTTTTCATTTCATTGTCACATGAGCTTATAAAAAACAATGTAATCAAGAACCAAGATTTAATAAAACTAACAATTTTGATGCTTCATTAAACAGCACTTTAAGGCAAAATGGCAAAACTAGACCTTTTATTTGAACTAGTAGTGTGTGGAGGTTAGTACAGTTTGGTGGCACTTTGTTCACTCTAAGGCACCAACAATTTTATTTACTTTCACTTTTACACCACTGGCGCAGATGTTTAAACATGGAAAAGGGCCAGAATGTATTCATATTATTATAGAAATGGCTTTGACCTTTTGACTCATTTAAGCCAAACTTCTAGTGTGGTAATCATTTGTACTGTTGCATTAACACAAAATCTTTCTTCAAGGTGAGCTGGCTCCTAGAACCTGGTCAGGTTAATTAAYTGGTCCTCAGAATGCAAATTATAAATCCAAAGCTGACCTCCCACATTGCTCCCAAGGAGCTATTTTTTGTTTACTTCTAAATCCCAAGAAGCATTCATAAAATACCAAAGGAAAAACAATAAAATAAAGTTTGAGAAAGAGGTTTAAATAAAAAAGGCAAACAGTGTAAATGGGAGACCAAATTTTGAAATCCTTGACACTAACCTATGATTTCCTTCACAAGAATGGGCTGAGAATAGTACTTGGGCTCGCTGGCACCAGCGGCATTAACAGCCTTTACACGAACAAAGATCTTGGCATCTGTCGGCAGACCTGTGATGGTGAACTTGGTCTTGTCAATTAGATCCGTGTTTGCAACTATCCAGTCCTCAGCTAAAATCCATAAAAGGAGAAGAAAAGGAGGAGGAATGGTGTTTAGTGGAAGAAATCATCCCAGTAATTACAGTCAACTCCAACAGTATTTTGCTCCTAATCAAATCATTTGGAAAGAGTATGGCTTTGGTCTAAACTCGGATCAAAATGGTGGGCATTTTTCACGTGTTTAAGTTAAAAAATGGCCTAAAACAGCTAACATACACAACAGGAAGAAACCTCTTATTCGAGATTAAGGTATCCTAAATAATCATAATTATCCCCAAGAGTTTTGCAGCAATTTTATCCCAATTTGGTTTTATAATGATTGATGCGATCATGGCATTTAGTCATCTGTGTACATTAAAGTTCAGAAAAATAGGAAATTGCTATTCTTCTGAGAGGCTTCGACCTTTATAATCACATAATCTCTCTACTTTATCTTGGCTGGTTCATGATTATCAGACACTAATATGAGCATAGAGAATCTGTGTTCATTTGTATGCATGAAGAAAAGATCTTAACATTCACAAAACAGGAAACACAGCTCCTGAGTTATAAGCTCATATAGAGTCATCTCAATTCTTCATTCTGTCTAAAAATCTGATTTTTTTTTTCTTAGCTTTTARTAGCTTTGTCTACAACATCAAGAGAATTTAAACCCAATATCCTGGGCTTGCAAATATTTCAGCTCTAAAAGTTAGCATGCATTATGCACAAAGGACAAAAGAGGGCTTGGATTCCGAGGACTAACTCCCCTCCTCCTCCCCCAGCTCTAGGGCTTTTTGGCATGTGGACAGTGGGCGTTCTTCGTGGGAGGTCATGGAACCTTCCCAGAAATGCTATCATATGGTAAGAAAGGCCAAGAGCTTCACAGGATACTTTACCTGGTAGATCAATCGCAGCCTCCCCACTTTCATCAGACTGTTTGGCTGATGTACCTTTGAGAATCCGTCATTAAAATTAATTAAAGACACCCACTTTCACACCAGAAGAATATGGTATCAGTAGTCAGCATTCTCTGTTAGTAAAGTATGCAAAATACGCAGAGATTTGTCTTCAGAGCAGTGACGGAGGAGACCAAACATGTTAGGGGGGGGGTTCCTCAGGAGAGGCACAGCCTGCCCTGGGCAGCCTGTGGTTTTTGTTCTGAGACTCCTGCCCCAGAGAAGAGGAGGGAGAAGAAAAGAGAAGAGGAGGAAGCTTGGACATTTCCAACCGTGAGAAGAAGATACAGAGAAGAACTCTGAAAGGAAAGGAGAAGGAGGCCCTGGAATCCATGGAGGGCCAGCACACAGAGAAACCATTTATCCCTGTACCTGATCTTAGCAGGAAGGCTCTTCTCTAATCTCCAGGAACATCATGCTCCCAGGGTGGGGCTCCCTCATCAGAATCAGGGAGCATGGGCATTGTGATAAGGTCAGCCTCTCCTGCCAGGGCTCAGCCATGTTTAACGAGGCTCTTAATTGGAAATACAATCTGGCCCAGCAGTTCAGGAGGCTGTGACAACAAACTGTGTCAAGAAAGCAAACTGGGTCTGCCTGAGTCCTTCCATTCCATTGGGGTGGCTCACAGGGTGGCCTTGGGCCTGCCCCACTGATTTGGGGTGGTGACTTTCTTGATACAGGAGAGGAGCTAGGGATCAGGGTTAGGAGTTAACTGTGCCTGGGAACCTTCTCCTGCCTCTTCCAACCGTACCAGGAATATCATGGAGAAAAGTCTGGACTAGCCAGACAGTCTGGCCATTGAGAGGGCGTGTGGATGATAAAAACTTAACGTCTTTGAAAAGATAAAACTTTAAGCAAATGGTCTGCTTGAGAGCAATGGTGTTGGTATTTCACAGTCAAGAGACAATGAATGAGAAAGTGAAAGTACTGGAGTGAGGGAACATGTAGGGAAAAGTGAAGAAATGGTAAAGGAAAAATCTCCAAGAGAAAACAGGATGGTCAAGATCAGGAGAGGGAAAAAAAAATCACCCATCTCTTCACATTTGAGCCACTTTAACAGGAGGGGAAACAGAAAGAAAGAAAATGATGTCTGAGGGGATGTGGAAGGGATATGTTGAGTTATTTAATACACAAGGTGAATTTTTAAGAAAGAAAAGAAGAAATGAGTGCGAAGGGGGGAAAAAACAAGAATAAAATACTGCAGGCATTAAAAGAAACAAAAACAAGAGAAAGAGTCAAAAAACAACACACGATCTTATACAAGAAAGAATTCTCTTCCAGAAGAGACCTGACATGTCTAAAAGCATTAAACACTACAGAAGATTAGTCTAGAGGACAGCAGCCATTAAATGAGAATGAAGAATAAGGCAGCCACATAAAGAAAGAAAAGACTGCAAGAAGAAAGATATACACGTTAAGAAAGAACTTCCATAGAAAGCTAATTCCAAAACGTTATGTGGCAAAATAGATACATAATAATGATTGTGTACATATACATATGTATAGATGTATATACATATATATCTACACAGACCACACACAAAATTTCGTAAAATACACTTCATTGTATTTTATCTAAGGTGGGTAACATCAAAATGACAGCCATCTATCATTTTGCTGTATCTTCTTACTTTTTAAACCTATCAGAAAGAAAAGAGTAAAGAATTTGCTCTGTTTCATACATACACAAGGTTTGAGCTCAGCAGCCACATCACATATAAGACTGGGAAATTCTGCTGGCCGGGCAATACAAAAAGCAGAGTGCAGTGCTCACGATTTTTTTTTTTTTTTTAAATAAGGGGACAAATGAAATGGGAATAAACCATATTCTGAAATYCTCAAGAATTTTCCTGTTGCATTTGTGACATTACCCCCCTCTCTTGCTGCACTAACCTTTTAATATCCCCATGGGTTTGGGTTAGTGCCTTTCTAAGCCCTGGAGAACCAATCACCAATCACGGCTCTCTTTGAGTGTAGTACATGTGAAAGGAACTCGGGGATGCCAGGGTACTTCATTCCCCRTTTCTTCTTCCCTCTTGACCAGCGAGGATCATTTCTGTGGATGCCCCCATCCAGGGCCTGGGATTTCTTTGGAAGCAGCTTTCTCTGGGTAAGTTTTTCTCCAAAGTGGTTTTCTTCCAGGAAGGATGCATTCGTGTTCATATTCCCCACTTCCCAGATGCGCTCTGTAGCCTCTTTTCTTCACTTGGAGCATCCATGTCAAAGCTTGGCGTCCAAAGAGTTTTCTTAGAGGTCAAACCTTGGGCTCATTTTTGCAGAATAAGAAAAGATTTCCCTGGGGGATCCTTTACCATTCACCCAGGGTGGAGGCTGGGTCCAGAGCCAGAAGTTTAACTTACCCTTTTCAAGTTCCATCGCCTTCTAATCATGGCAATGGGAAACCAAGGAAAGCAACAAGCTTTGGTGACTGTCACAGCTTTTTGGATTTCAGGTAAACTCTGGCCTATATTTTCTAATGTCATTTTCTCTTTTTCCATTACTTCTGTGAGTAATTGTTTTATGGGCCTTGTTTCTCTTTTCCCTTTAAATTTAACTGATTAAATTTTCATATATCCAAACCTTGAGATAAGTAACTGTCACATGTTGAAACTATTTCTTATACTCTCTGGGATTTAATGCCATTTCCTTTAAAATTAAAAGTCACTGTTAATTCTTTTTCTCCTTAAGAATACAAGAGATAATCACCAGGTAGTCTCTTATTATTAATCTAAACATGCAGCTCTTTTGATAGTGAGCTTCTGSTCAGCATAGGTTTTAGAATTTCCAACTTGCTAAATCTCAACAAGGTATTCACTGTGTTCTGGTACAATGCAATCCCACCGGTGGGGTTACAAAGTGGAAGACCCTGGAGTATTGTCAGAAGCCCTGCCTCCTAGGACCTTGGCTCATTTGTGTTGCCCAACTTTGCAGCCCAGCTAGGATATTTTTGAGGTCTCAGTTTGTTAGCATCAAGTACTAAAGAAGGGCTACATTTTTATAYATCTCAGAAGAATGATCTTTGGCTTAATCTCATTTTCAATGGGAAAGAGATGAGTTTCCTTGAAAGACGAAAGGAAGTGGGGCATACCTCACCTACTGAGGACGGTATTCATGTGACTTCTAGTTGTACTTACTTCCTTCAAAGCAATACTCTAGCACATAGCCATCTAAACCTGCAGCACCAATCTGGTCTGGGGGCCTCCACTTCATGGTGACAGTGGTGTCGGTGACAGAGTCAACAGCMAGCAGAGTAGGAGGGCTRGTGACAGCTTRAAAGAGGAAGAAACAGAAGAAACTATTAGCTAAAAGTTATCACCCAGGAACTCTGATGAAGTGAACTGGGATATCACTATAATTGGGCACAGCAGACTCACAGCTCAATAAAATTCAACCTAAACTCCTTGGGCATGGTTGTATATAGTGCAAAGATATGATCCACACAAGAATTGTGCAATGACGTCACTTTTTCTCCAATTTGGGTGGTTGGTGTGAGAGGATGGGAGGCCAAGGAAGTCAAAGAAATCTAAGTTTKAGATCTAATGATCCAGAGTAAATTTCTTATAACCTTCTAATTTTAAAGTGTGAACTCTTTATGTTTCATTTCTATTGAAAAAAATACTTCAGTACCATAAAATAGTGGAGACATCTTTTGTTTCTTTGCTTACGTTGAACCAACATTTTTTGGTTTGAAAGATAATGTTTAATGTACAACCTTAAAGTAAGAGACTAGTTTCCAAGTGCAGGCTGTTGAACTGATCTCAGTTGGTTTTAGCCATATTGTAATATGTACACCAAAGTCTGCTTATACCTTGGGAAGACAGATGGAGAGTAGAGTTGGCTCCATGTTTTCATTGGGAGGTGGCTCCTAGAGTCACCTATGACTATCGCTGGATTTCTGGACATGAATTCTAGGGTCTACATTATGAAGACATTCAACTCTACCAAAGTTATCTTTAAATTTACCAGACAGAAAATTGCCCTAACCAATTCCTACCTCCTGCCCACCCACGGTTCTGAGAAGCCTCCCAGCTAGACATCAGAAGGGAAGACTTATATTATGGGAYAATGATTCCCATGACAAAGACATCTCTCTCTTGACTCACCCAAGGGAACGAAGGGCTTAGAGGGCATACTGGGCTTGGAGATTCCAACAGCATTGACTGCAAAGATGCGGACCTCATAGGCCACACCTTCAATCATCTTCTTGGGCTCAAAAGTAGTTTCTTTACAGAGATCAAAATTCAGCCTCATCCACCTGGAACTTTGCTTCTTCTTTCTCTCAATAAAGTATCCTAYGGGTACACAAAACAGAAACTGAAGATTTCCCCCCCCCCTTGGTCTCCAAAATTAAATTTTGTCAGATATTAGACATTCTTGAAATTTTTGCATATTCTCAGCATGGTAGGTGAAAGTCATATATGTATGTATTTCAACCCATCATATTCCATCAATTGTTAGAGATTATAGGGAATGCAAACATTAACATCCTATGATAAAGATAAAATAACTACCAGAAAAAAATAAAATTATACTAGAAAAAGAAAAAAAAAACAGATTTCAGATAAGTAGACCATAGCAACTTAAATCAATATGGTTGGACAATATAGTCAGAGCCAATATAGTTGGCTCTGAGCCCCAGCAATGACGATAAAGAGGGGTAARTGATTAGTTTTGTGAGTCTCATTACTGGTAAGGAGAAAAAAATTTTTATGCCATTGGGGAACCAAATTGTTCAAAGCATTTAAAGCTAAAAAAAGTTTCTTCATAACATGACCCTATGGAACTAGATATTTACTGAATAAAGCAGTGAAAGTTAGACTTATAGTTATTCAAAATTAGCTATTGAGTATTAATGATAAACAAAAAAAGAGAATAGGGAATAGATTAGATGATATTTGTTAGATCTATTTAAATCTCAAGAGACTACAGAGCATCTCAAAATATATAAATTTCAATTTGAATGGATAAAGTCATAGTATAAGAGTTATTCTTGTAACTCAAAATTTTAAAAATGTATTCTATACTAAAACACATCAAGAGGATACCAACTGCACTGGAAATTACATAGACTGATCAAAATCCAGTTACCTAAGATTGGAGACCCTCCATCATAGACAGGAGGCTCCCAGTTCATGATGCACCAATCATCACCTACTTCTGTCACATTTGGTGCCACTGGAGGATCAGGGATGTCTGTAGCAGACCAAAAAAAAAAAAAAAAAAAAGACATGAAATAAAATGAAGAGAGAAAACAAAGTTATGTATACACATACACACACACACACACACACACACAYAYAYAYACACACACACGTAATAAGCACAGAAACTACTATTTCAAAAACGTTTCCATATTTCTTGAAATGTACTTAGTATCTAATTTGGACCAAAAGTTATGCTCAAATTTGGGGGCGATGTTGTCTCCAACTCCCTTAAACCAGTGTTACAACATTAAATAATAAGCTCCATGTGAAACCTAAGACTATTGCTCTTTCCCTTGAAAATGGCAACTAAGAAATTATTACCTGGATACTAGATGGTTATTGTTGTTGTTGTTTTTAAACTACAAATGAACTTCCAGAAGAAATGAATCAAGGCCTAACTATAACAAATTTTACATTTGTTAGAAGATTCAAGATGCTGACCAGTAGATATCTGAGTTAGAAATGAAATGTTTTGTAAGTATAGTTCAGTTCCTGCTAAAGTGACCAGTATYGGCCAATTTGAAATATGTCTCTTAAGGGACAACTGAAAAGAGAAGAGAKATCATTGAGACTTTGAAACATTAATAACCTGCTGGACCCATTTTTCTTTGGTTTAGTTAGGTTTAAGAAAAACACACTAAGGGGCTAGAGTTGTGGCTCAGGGGTAGAGCACTTGCCTGGCATGTATGAAACCTTGGGTTTGATCCTCAGCACCCAAATATAAATAAATAAATTAAATAAAAGATCCATTGACAATTAAAAAATATTTAAAAAAAGAAAAGAAAAATGCACTAAGGACCAAGATAGATCTTATTCTTCTGCATTGACTGTGATGTGGGAAATTATTTAGCAATTGTGTTTCAATGACTTTTAAAGGGCAACAAAAAGAGACGATGACTTTGCAGTTAATGATCAGGAATCCCAAATGGCTGACCTTTCCTCCAWAGTCAAGTCCTTGAGGCAAGAAAATAGAAGAGAAATTGAAGGAAGGGGGAGGAAATGGAAAGGAAGAGAAGAAAGTGGCAAAGGTTGAAAGAGAGGGAACAAGTGAGATTTATAAAATATAGCTACACTGTGCTTTCCTTTTGTTGGCTACCCAGAAAACCTGAGGCAACCAACACTTGGCGAGGTCTCCTCTGGATCTAGGTGTATCCATCTCATTATAGATGTCTGCTCCCCAAGAGGACTTACCCACAACTTTAATCTTGATGCTTGCATGTGCTTCTCCAGCTTCATTCTTCAGATTTATGTGGTAAACACCAGAGTCATCTCTTTCAGCCACATCAATGACCAAGGTGCTGCTATCAGGATAGGATTCTGCTCGTATCCGGCCACTGCCCTCCATGATAGCCTGACAAGGAGGGATAAAATGCAGCATGATGCGCACAAGAAGAGATACTTCAACTTGAGCTAGAAGTGGTGTTAATGCCCCAAATGCATTTTCTCTGTTTAATCTTCCAGCAACTCTAGCGACAGAGGCAGTATCCCATTTATACATGAGGAACCAAGACTTAACCTGTTCAAGTCCACAAGCTAAGAAGTAGTGGAACTGGGACTGGATCCCAGAGCCCATCAACCAACTCTTCCCAGAGAAAGATGGAGGACTGAAAATACGAGGGAAGAAGTGAACTTTTAGGACAGGAGTCTCTTCTTGAATGAAATTAGAAATACTTGGACTCATGTCAGAAATTAAATAATGATTTGTTAATTCCTATAGATGTCTTGAAAATTTTAAAAACATAGAAAAGGTTGAAGAAGGCCACCAGGTCAACTTTCCACTCAAGTTGTTGAATATGGATTTTCCATTTCCAATAAGGACATGGAAGAATGAATATGTAATTCCCAAAGTACAGAGAGAAGTTGGGGCTTCTGTTACTTTTTATTAGTTTTACTTTCTTCTATATTTTATTACTTTCTTTCTTTATTAAACCTGAAATTTAAAGAAACAACAATTTTTGGATTCTCAGATCATATTTTCCATATGAAAAATAATAGTGAATACACAAAGAGAAATAACAGAGAACGTTGGGGTAATTTAGAAACTTGGAAATTTGCCAGTAACTATTAAATTAACTTTCTCTTGTGTCAGATTGGGACTTATATAGGTCTTCAACAACACAAAATTGAGACATAGTAAGAATATACAAAATAACTTTCATAATTCATTTATTTTATAGTAAAATAAAATTTACTCAGTGTAGCCAAATACCAACCTAAGATTATAAAATATGTCCTTATTTACTTTAATGTGAAAAGAATATATTTATTTAGGGTGATATTACATGATCCTCTTTGGTTTTCTGTATTTTGATGTTTGCATATTGTGCTATGATATTTATAGAGAACATTTATAATTTTTGTATACCTGGTTCTATGAATTTTGACAAATTGATGCAATGTGTAATCATCACCCTGATTAAGATATAGACTATTTCTGTCACCTTCAATGGTACYTCCATGCTCCTTGGCAATCAACCCATATCTTACAATTTGGTCCCTGGCAACCACTATCTAATATCTGTCCCTTAGTTTTTCTTTTTTCCAAGTATCATATGACAAGAATCAAGCAGTGGATTGCCTTTTGAATATGGCATTACTTTGCATAATGCTTTTTAGATTCATCCATGTTGCTGCATCTATTACTAGTTCATTCTTTTTTATTGCTGAATTGTATTCCATTGTACTTTGCATGTGTTATTGATTCACAGCATAAAAAATATTGGTACAACTAGACTTTAGAGTTATTTCCAGGTTTTGGTAAAAATGAACAAAGCTTCTACAAATATTAATGTATAGGTTTTGGTGTAGACATGTGTCTTCATTTCTCTTGTGTAAATAACTAGAGAGAGTATCATAGAGTTGTATATAGTAAGTATGTGTTTATTAAAAACTATGAAATGGTTTTAATGCAATTCATGCAAAGTGGATGTACCATTTTGCATTCCCACCAGTGATGTCTGGAAGTTTAGTTGTTCCATATCCTTGCCAACATTTGATGCTGACAATTTTTAAGTATTTTACAAAATAATGTTTTAAAGTATTTTAAGGTCAGAATAATTATTTTGAGATTCATCTGTGTTCTTCTTACATGTATCAGAAACACATTCCTTTTTATTGTTGAGTATACTTAAAATTGCTTGAATATACTTAAAATTTGTCTACCCATTCTCACCATGTATGGAACTTGGGGTTATTTTTAGCTTTGGAATATTAAACATAAAATTACTACGGACATTTGTTCTAGTATATTTTTTTTGTTTTTTTTTTTAATATTATGTCACCTGCAAATAAAGGCAGTTTTACTTCTTCCTTTTCAATATGGATGAATTTTATTTATTTTTCATGCTTGGTTACCAAGCTCAAATACAATGTTGATTAGAGGTAGTGATAGTAGACATCTTCTCTTTCTCATTCTTGATCTTGGGAGGAAAGCATTCAGTCTTTATTAAGTAGGACAGTAACTGTAAGGTTTTTATAATATCTTCTACCATGTGAGGAAGTTCTTTTTACTTCTTAGTTTGTTGAGAGTTTTTTAAAATCAGGAATATATGGAATTTTTCATATTTTTGCTGTTTATTGAGATAATTGTGTTTTTCCTTTTTGTTAATGTCATGAACTTTATTGATTTTCAAATGTTAAACCAAGTTTTCCTTTTCCTGGATAAATACATCATTCTTTTCATATGTTGATGAATTTTATCTGCTAAATTTTTTTTTAGAACTTTTTCATCTGTTCATAAGCGATACATGTTTGTAGTTTTCTCTTCCTGTGATGTGGGAAATTATTTAGCAACTTTTTGTACTTCAGTKAAAATGGAACCAAAAGGGATCACAGTTTGCTTATCTCTTCACCTATGGAAAGACATACTGGTGCTTCCAAGTTTTGGCAATTATGAAGAAAGTGGCTATAAACACTTGTAAGCAGGTTTTTGTACGGATATTCAGTTCTCAACTCTTTTGAGTAAATACTGAAGAAGAGCTGAATCATGTAAAAAAAAAAGTGTGTTCCATTTTGAAAGAAACTGATGGACTCTCTTCCAACTGGCCATAGCATTGTACGTTCCTGTGGCTCCACATCCCAGCAAGCATTGGATGTTGTCTGTTCTGAATTTTGGCCACTCCAATGGGTGAGTCCTGGTATCTGATTGTTTTACTTTGTACTATACTAATGACATGTGGCGTGGGACCTCTTCTCCGGTGCTTACTTGCCATCTGTACTTATTCTTTGCGGTGTCTGTTCAAGTTCTTTTGCTCATTATTAAAGAAGATGAAGGGAGATCTCTTGAGTTTTTACAACCCTGGAGTGTCTCCAGTGCTTCTCACTTTACCCCCATTTCTTCAGCAGGACAGGAAGGCCTGAGGGATCTACAGTGGAGTCTTTCCCTTCCCCCCAGTAGGTCAGGCTCTGATACAACACCAGCAAGTTAGGCTCTGGTAAAATATTTTCTCCCCAATGCACGCCTCATTAAGAAGAGAATGCTCTAACATACTTCACGACGGCTTCTCCTGCCCCTGCTGGGATCTTGCTCCAGGATTCACTGTGAAGCCTGACAGAGCTCCTGAAAGTAAAATCGAAGAAGTGGGGGGTTTCCCATGACAGGGTCCCCCTGGAGTTTTGAACTCTCAGACTCCAGATATTTATCAATTACAGTCTAGGTTTTCCTCTCCTAGCACTGGTTTCCCAGGCAGAGGTTTCTGCTCTGGGTTGTGATTCTGTGTCTGCCTTTGTCTCTCCACGGTAGGGGTCAGCAGTCTGCCCTATCCTCTCACTTCTCTGACAGATTTGGAGGTGCTCATTTTCCAGTTTGTATACTGCCTTCTCTTGTAAGATGGACTGGCGACCTCCAAGCCCCTTAAATGCTAGAATGGAAACCGGAAGTTCAATTGGATGCCTCTCTTAGTTGTTTTAGACCCTTTCTATCCTATACTTCATTTTGGAAAGTTTCAATCACTGTGTCTTCAAATTTGCCTGCAAAATCTAATCAGCTATTAATTCCATCCACTTTTTTTTGAGGCATTTTATAAAGAGACATTTTATTTACAGTTTTTATCTTCTAGACAATTTGATTTGGGTCTTTACAAATAATTTTCCTCTTCATCCCCCCACCCCCTATTTTACTTCACTCTCTCTACTTTGAATGGAGAACTTAACATTTCTCCACCTAACTGCTTGAACATTGGGATATAATTGACTGTTTTCATGTCCTTGATTGCTAATTCTAATACAAGTGCAAGATCTGAGCTGGTTTCAATCAACCCTTCTCCTTTTGGGTTACATTTCCCACTCATTTCTCTGTTGTGATATTTGACCAATGGCAGATATTACAAATTTTACCTTTTTGGATGCTTGGTAATTTTGTATCCCAAATCTTGAGCTTTGCTCTAAAATGCAATTAAATTACTTGAAAATCAATGGAAGCTTTTAGGGCTTGCTTTTCTAATTTGTTAGATATGTCCTAAGCAGTGTCCAGTTCATTATTTCCACAACCAAGGCAAGGCCTTTGGGATGATTCTCCTCAATGCACTTTGCAGGATGAGGCTTTCAGTCTGCTCTAAGGAGGGACAAGCACTATTCCTGGCCTTGTGTGAATGACGCCCTCTTCTTTTTAATCCTCGGTGATGGTTCTTTCCTCAGTCCTGGGTGGTTTCCTGAACAATGTAAATTGATAACTTCTGAATACTTGAGAGGGACCCTCTGGGGAGCTCCAGGACTCTCTCTGAGCAACTCTCTTTTACAGTGTGACTCTGTTGGAACTCCAGCTATGCAGCTATGCAGCCTCCTTGTAYGAAGGGAGTCCTAACCTTGGACTCTGTCTGGGTTTCTTTTCCTGGTACACTGCCTGGAAACTCTCTTAAGGCAGGAAGCTGGGACAATTGTAGACACACCTATTTCCATATTCAGGGTCACTGCTTTTCATTGTTTGGTGCCCATGCTCTTGAAAACCATCGTTCATATGTTTTGTCAATTTAGGGGCTTATTTCAAAGGAGCGTATATATCAGGTTCCTATTACTCTATTTTGATTGGAAGTAGAAGTCTGTTTTGCATTTCTACTTTTTTAAATGTAAAAATAGAATTTTCTTTTTTTTTCCTTCTTTTTGCAGGAAGCCATGGGTTACACTTGAGCGGACACTACTCTTCCACTCCAATCTAATCTTTCTCTTCCTCATTCACTCCACCCCAGCCCCACCCTCTTTCTTCCTATTCCTCCAGCACACCAAGCTTGCTCTCTCGCGCTGGACTTTGCACTTGCATGGTCTCTACCTGGAAATCTCTTCCCTTTCTTCTCTGCCTAAGGGGTCCCTTGCTGTTATTCTCAGAGGCGACCACTGACTATGCAGCCACTTGCTATCCGTGACATTCTCTTTTATTATCTTCATAATGCTTCTCGCTCTCCAAAGGGACTTTGTTCTGTCACTTATTTACTTTATCTAAAAAATTCACTATTTCTTCTCTATCCTACCTCATAGCATCAACAGAATGAAGGACCTTGTTCATAATGGGACCTTGTTCATTATGAACAAAAGCATACTTGACCACATGGTAGGGAGTTAGAATATGAAAAGAAAAGAATTATCAGATTTGCCTGAAAATCAATCATCTTTCCTTTTCAAAGAAATTACTGTACTCTTGGTTGTTGATTTGCCTTCTCCCTTCATCTGACTATTGGAGTGCAAGAAGTGGGACAGCCTCTGTGTGTGTGTGTGTGTGTGTGTGTGTGTGTGTGAGACAAACCTTATCTGCTCGGCTCCAAAGGCACTTAGGAGGTGGTTCTCCAGAGACAGGAATCTCAAGACGAAGCTTACTCCCTGCAATCACGGTCACTGTATTGTCAGCATCAAGACCATCCAGGATGATCTTAGGAGGATCTGGAGTATTAAGCATGGCCTTTGTTATCAGACAGTCATTTCCATGTGGTTAGTGATTGGCTAGTGCTTATTTTGGTTAGTGATTGGCTGGTGCTAAACATTGGTAATCCCGTGTTTTTATCTGACTAAAAAGAACACAAGAAGGGTCAAAGTAGTTGGTGCCCAGAACCTTGCAAAACTATCCCACTGTAAGATTTAAGAACCGAGTACTTCAGTTAGTGACTAATAGCAGGTGATATATCATATGGTTTTGGATACATTGCAATTCCTAGGCAAACCAGATCAGACCAATAAGAATACAACTATGCACTGATTTCTACTCACCAACAACATGAACTTTGGCAGGCAAAGTAACATTGTAGGCATCTGGTGTAAACACATAATCACCTTCATCTTCAATGAGGGCATTGGCTATAACTAACTTGTGGACTCTAAGGAAATGAGAAAAACATATTTCTAAGACTTAAGACTTAGACTATATATGAACCAAACTGAAAAGACACCTGTCCTTTACCTGATTTACTTCTTTCATGCATGAGAAAGGGAGAGGGAGAGGGAAACTGAGAGGGAGAGAGAGAGAGAGAGAGAGAGAGAGAGAGAGAGAGAGAGGAAGGAAGAATGAATGTGAAGTCTTAATTATTTGTTGACTTAAATTAGACTTCTATTTTGGAGTACATAGAAATATTTGTACCAAAAAATACCCTGCTTATTATGCGTGCAAAAGTCTATTCTTCTTTTTTTTTATTTTCATAACTTTAAAAAGATTAAGACATAGCACCTCAGTAATGCTACATTTGAAGATTCAAATTATAAATCATAATCTTGACTTGGTTTTACATGCCAAAAGAATAATAGTTCTTAATTTTATTGGTGTCACAAACCAGTGAATATCAGATGGATATTATGGACCCTTTCTCTACAGAAAGTGTGTATTTTGTATACACACAGAATTTTCTCACCATTTCAGAGGATTTGTAGATTCCCCAAAAGTCCATTCATGATTTTGTAAGAGCCCATTGGTTCAGACCCTTGCCTTAGATCTTTGCTAGATTCTAGGATATTATGCCCACCCCCTTCAAGGAAAAAAAAATGTGACATTTACTGTTGTCAAAAGACAACATTAAAACAAATTTGTTTTAAAGATCTTAACTGGCAATTCTGGAACTGGGCAATACCTCATTCTATAAAGTAGAATGAGTATTCTGATGAGCTGAGCAGAAATTGACTTTATAGCAGAAAAGGGCTCAAGAAAGCAAAAACAACAAAAATTGGATTATTTCAAAGTTGCTTTCCTTGTACAGGTTAAAGCAGAGGGGATTTCCCTATCATGCCTGCTAAAACTGGTCTGCTTGGGATTTGGCTATTATTCTTCTTTTTCCAGATTTCATGGAAGATCAGATAAGCAACTTAGTTTGGGCATGGTGGTGTGGAACTTYAGCATGAGTAACTCCATGATGACTTGGTCGGTTGGACCTAGTACAGAAGCCAAGTTCAAATCAGTGGTCTACTCTACATCTTTTTTAACTTTGGTTGGGACAGTTCATACATTTGACCAGCTTGTCAGCTAGAGTTCAGCCCATTCCTCTAACCTCTTGTTTAGATGCAACAAAATTAGTCAACAAAGAACCATAGTGAAGTACAAATACAGGATCGTGAATAGGACATGATGTACAACAAAGAAATCACAGGTTCTTGCTAGTTGGAAGCAAAGAGCTAGACATAGGTCATCTCCCCATGGCTCCTCTCCAAACAGAAATTGCACAAGTATGTAAATGAGGAAGTGGGGAAGGTGGAGATGGTGACCAACCCTCACCAGTGGCACCTCGTTTGCTTACTTTCCTTTGTGAACAACCTTCAGACGGTCACTCTCCTGAACAGGCAGGCCATTTTTAGTCCATTTTCCTGGTATGTTTTCAGAGATCTCACACTTCAAGCATACTTCTTTTCCAAGTTTTACAGTCTGATCAGTCAGAGGTGTCAAAATCTTCAGAGGTCTCACTGTGGAGATAAGGAGCATCATGAGTRCAGAACCCAAGCTCAGACAGGCCAGCATGATGGCATTTCACAATGGGACTCTCACTTCTGCTACCATGCTTGTTTTGAAGATGAGAATTTGTTGCAGTGCAATCCATACACTAGAGGACAATTGTTATATTTATTGAGCATTTACTATGGGTAAAATTGCACCACTGGTTTTTATGAGGTTCTTTTAAAAAAATTGTGTCTCTAACAAATTTCTTGGAATGCTGTGTCCATATTTCCCTTTCTTGTGTAAACCTTGTGATTTTTACTGCATGATTTTGCATAGAATAATGATTATTAGGAATGAATATGTTGAATTAGAGCAGAACTGGCTGTACTTGCTTTAAATGGATACAAGTATCAAGACAAGGACCTGCCTGTGGTTGAAAAACATTTGATATTAGACTAAAATGGCCATAATTCCATGAAGCACAAGGAGTGTTTTGAGATTGCTTCTGAACAAATCCATGATCATATAAACTACAATTGGACAAGTAGGGAAATGATATTTTTGCTCTGCATGTCTTACCACTCATCCTGACATTTTGCTATTTTAATTTTCATGGCAAACTGGGACAGATTCTGTCACTGAGAAGTGACGACCATTAGAAAACATTTGGGAAAGTACATGGATTTTCTCAAAGCTCTGGAGCCTATTAGCTAATAAGCTCTTATTCATTGGTGGCATGTTCTTGATTATGCCCCGACTTGGTCTGAATAATTTTCTTCTTACCTCAAATGCAATTACAGAGTGTTGATTACTTATTTAATGACTAGATAGAATGCTTACTTACGGATTCAGGAAATATTATTGAGATTTTATATCTAAGTATTTACCATCTATTTTTATGGTCTTGAGATTAGAACAATTTGGATCACTTTTCTGGCTGATGATTTTTTTTTTATATTTTCTTCCTGATATCAGTACTCTCCTATTAAATTCAGTAGTTGGTTCCTTTTTCAGAGTCCCTGACTATCTGATAGACACTCAGCTAAAATGGAATCCAATTTCACATCTTTAAAGATGCCACAGGAATGAATCAAATAGATTGGAACTTTCCTAAAACTGGATTGAAGAGCGCAACATGATTTGTGCACCAGCTCCAAAGAGGCCCAAGCAATCGTACTTACAGTCAACGCTCAGTTTGGCGGATGACTGTCCTCCCGTTGTCATCACTGAATACTCCGCGCTGTCAGCCTTCGTGGCTCCCTCTATGATCAAAATGTGTTTTTTGCCCTCAACTTTAATCCTGTATCTTGATTTTGGACCAGGGAAGATCTCTTCACCATTCTTAAACCTGAGTTAATATGGATCATAAAAAAAAAAAACTTTTATAAATCAACCTCCGGAAAACAAACTTCATCAGTCCCRTTTCTTGATTTATCCCAGAGTCTCATACCATTTCTGGCAGATGCCAAACAAAGAAGAAAGATTTGCGGAGTTAAAAGACTGTATCAATCAATCTATCTGCCATTGGATTCATTCTGTAACAAATACCGTCTACAAAAATCATATTAAGAGAACATAAGCCAATCGGAGGAAGATGCTGAAAGTGGATAGTACCCCCTTCTGGGTTCTTGACACATTTTAAAGRTAGCTGTGACAGTAGATTTGCATGAACAATCTACTCTGTACCATTTGCTAGATTCCTCTGTGTAATTTACTGTACTTCTCAACATAAAATTTTATTTTAAGATTTGGAATCCTCTAGTTTTTAATTTTGAGATTACTCAGAGGGAACATGTAAGAAAACACTCTCCACCTGACCAGGAAATAAAGCTTTTATTTATTTATTTACTTCCTTCCTTACTTACTTATTTTTACTTTTTTTTTAGCACAGGAAATCAAACCTAGGGCCTCACATATTCTRCCACTGAGCTATATCCCCAGCCCCAGCTTTTTAAAATTTTTTTTTAAATTGGTGATTCTTAGTCTAAAATATTTTTCTGAGGATGCTGTAACAATACAGTGATGAGGATGTAATGAAAAAAACATGTTTTTGGTTTTTTTTTTCCATCTAAGTTGTCAGTAAGGATTGGTGAGAAGGATAGTGGTGTAGAGAGTCAGAGTATCCTCGGTCTTTGGAGTCAAACCGACCAGAGTAACCTGAGTAGTTATAAGTCCCTACCTTCCTACATCCTTACCAATATAGATTTCTGGATCTTTTCTCTGTCTTATAACTGAAAAGAACCCCAAGATTATAGAATAGTTGTAGTTGTCATCTTTACTAAGGATGAGATCTYTATAAGGTCAAGAGTCTGTTCATATGTTTAAAAGCCATGTGTATTTTCTGTTCTATTAACTAGGAAGATACTATTTTTGTGGCTCAGCAGTAGAGCACTCGCCTAGTATGTGCGAGGCCCTGAGTTCAATCCTCAGCGCCATATAAAAATAAATAATTAAAATAAAGGTATTGTGTCCAACTACAATTAAAAAATAAGATATTAAAAAAATGGACAGAGGGCTGGGGTTATGGCTCAATGGTAGGGTGCTCACCTAGCATATGTGAAGCACTGGGTTCGATCCTCGGAACCACATAAAAATAAAATAAAGATATTGTGTCCACCTGAAACTGAAAAATATTTTTTAAAAATGGACAGATCTGAATGCAATGGCAAACACCTTTAATCCCCAGCAACTCRGGAGGCTATGGCAGGGTGATTGCAAGTTCAAAGCCATTCCCAGCAATTTAGTGAGGCTCTAAGCAACTTAGTGAGACCCTATCTCAAAATTAAAAAAAAAAAAGAAAGAAAGAAAGAAAGAAAAAAGGCTGAGGATATGGCTCAGTGGTTAGGTGTTCCTGGTACAAAAAAAATAAAACAGGACAGACATCAGGAAAACTACTTACCATTTTACATTGGCATCATCTTCAGACACCTCACATTCTAATTCAACTCTTTCCCCACAATAAGCATTCATATCTTCCAGCTGTTTAGTCACCATAATTGGAGGTTCTAGTGTGAAAAGGGTGGAAATCAAAATCATTAAATATCAAAATCCTGTCTCCCAAACCTGACTTTTTCACAAATGAAAATCCAACAATACCAAAGCATCATCTATGGTAGTTCTATGGTAGTGAATAGGAGGTGAAGGTTTACTTATTTATTTTTTTACTCTCTGTTATTGGCAAAACAAATAGCTAACAACCCTGGAAAAGTTCTCCCAATTCTCTCACAGCTCTCCAAATTAAATAAATCATTGTTTTAGAGAGCAGATAAAATATGTATCAAGTATCCTTCTTTCAGCCAATAAGATACCAGGTGATAGACACTCCTGATAAGGAGAATGAATAACACTAAAGTTCTTTATTTTGGTTCTAAAAGGAGGGTAGAGATTATAGAGTTGTCTGTCATCAGAGGGCTTCATTAAAAAAAAAAATGACATGTGGCTTCATTTCACCCCTCCAGTTCTTTTCACAATGTCTTCATAAATGATGATCTACTGATGCCAACTACCAAGCTGGTTTTAAGAGAATTCTATTTGTTATCAGTGGAGAGTGTGAAACAAGGATCATCCAGTGAAGTTTTTTGGGTTTCAGAAGCTATAACTATTTTAATTATCAGGCAGAACAGTGCTTGGCTTGAGTCAAAACTATGGGGCAGTTTTATTCAGAAGTTTCTTCTCCCCTTGACTTTTCTAGCCTTAGGACTTCTGAAGATTCCTTAGGATTCATGATACCTGCCAGTGCAGGGTAGCCTCAATGCTGGGTCAATCTAATGGCCAACCCAAACCATTTCTAGMTTGGAGCTAAAGAGGTTCCCTGACCAATTCTTTTGATCATTACCCCTGGGAGTAATGATGTACTGGGAGCACTGATGACCGTAGGAAGAAATTTCATCTTACCTCTCACAAAGAGCTCAGTAGAACATTTTTCATCACCAGCTGTCACATAATACTCTGAGTCATCTGTCAGCGAACAGTTATTGATAAACATGATTCTTTCGCATCCTTTGTGTTCAAAGATGTATCTGTTTTAAACAGGAGGAAGATAAACAGAGTCCATGAGCTTAATATTATTCTTTGCCTTATTGTCAGCAAAGATGGCTTATAATTTGGTAATATCTGAAAGTAAGGGAAATAATATTAATCATCCCTTTTTGTAGCATATATTTTACATAGTTTAATTAACATCAAACAAAAAACAATTCCCATGTTTATGATCTAYGATACACATGCATGTTTATATACATTATTTAACTAGTTTATATTTTCTTTTTTACATGGTTTTTCTTTCAAATATAAACCAGTTCTCACATATTTGCTGTTTGATTTTTTTAAACCCACTGTTTGACAACAGGTTTGGTTGACAGTGTCAGATTTTTAACTCTGTGCATTCTTTTGTTCTAGATTTTTTATTAGTGTATTATATTTATACATAATTKCGGGGTTCATTTTAATATATTCATAAAATCATAATAACAAAATTTGCTCCATTTCAATCCCAGTACTGCCCCCTTCCAACTCTTCCTCCCACCCYCTAATCYCCTTYCTCTACTTTATTKGTCTTCCTTCTATTAATTTGGATTTTCAAATTGGTGCATCATAGTTACACAGAAAAGTGAAATTCATTGTGATATAGTCATACATGCACATAGCATAGTTTGGTCAATTTCATTTCACAGTTCTTCCCCTTTCCCATAACTCTGCACATTCTTCTAATGACCAATTCATGTGCTCTATGAAGGGGGCGGAGACTTAATCTTATTCATTGACATATATTCCATTCATTGCCGAGCACASGTACACAATAAACTGTTGGATGATTRTTTAATTTAACARTTATATGACTAATCATTACARCAGTAGTAATTCTATACAATGTGACAGTCTCTTACATGAGCCTAAAACCCGTGCTTTCATATCACTATTAACATCTATTAAGAAAGTATTTGAGTAATCAGAAAGAGAAAACAGGAAGTCAAGAAGACAACAAATTTTAATGCTATGACCTGGATCATGGAGGAGCACATTAGAGCATTATAACAAACCAGAAAAAGTTAGTTGGGGTTGGGAAATTATCAAATTGAGGACTACAAGAATAAAACATTTCAACAATGTTTTCTAGATAAAACTAACCAAATCAAATTATGTTTTGGTAAATACAGGATGTCTTTAAGAGATTTTTGCACCAGATATAAACAATATTATCACAAAGTCACTCTGTTGGCATGATCACATTAAGAAATTGGAAACCACCTAATTGTACTCCAGAAGTGACAGATTTCCAGGATTAAAGTCTTTTATCAATGTACACGTGGCCCTTGTTAACTTAAAAAAATATACTGGAGTTGAAAATCTCTCAGGCTGAGGAGGATCTCTGTAAAGTAGTTTCATAATAGACTAGAGATACCATCAGACATCAGGGATTAGTTTGCCTACTTCCTTTGGGAGAGGGCCAAGAAATAATAAAACATGGGCTTAGACCTGCATTTCATTAGATCTCAACATGAAACACTTGTATTCAGATGCAACACTATGAGTAAGCACTCAAAATAGCTCCTGAATTGAATATAAAAGGTATTCGGCCATTATCAAATACAGATACTGTTTTCAAAAAACAAAAGTCATCTAATTATGAGGCATGATTTCTCACTGGCATATCAAATATGTATTTCAAAAGTTTTTAAGTTTTACTTTTAAAAACTGTGAAAAGTTTGGCAATCTCTTAAATAATTACATATAAGCTGTAGTGGCACTAAACTATAACTGGGAATCACTTGAAATAGTCTGTATAGAATTAAGCATAAAGCAAAGTTTATTTCATATAATACTATGGTTTTAGTAATCATGAAATACATGCAGTGATTAAATTTTTATTCTCCGTTCATGTGCTTTTGCATTATAACTAAAAAGCCCTTGTATTCTCAGAAAATTAAGTCAAACACTGTTTGATTCCCTTATTTTTGTCATTGATTACTTGCAAAGCCCACTTACTTTGTGCTGGGTCGAATTTCTTGGCCATTTTTATACCATTTCACCTCCAAYTTTGGATCTGCCAGTTCCACAACAAACCTTACTCTGCCTCCTTTATCAACCTGATATGCAGGATCAAGAATTTTTGCAAAAGCTGATCGATAGAAACAGCAAAATACGTTAGTATGTGTGTACATATGCTGAGAATTTAGTCAATATGTGTAAGAGAGCAGGACRAGGTGTCACATGACTGTAATCCCAGGGACTCAGGAGGCTGAGGCAGGAGGATTGCAAGTTCCAAGCCAGCCTCAGCAATTTAGTGAGACTCTGTCTCAAAATAAAAAAAAAATAAAAAAAAAAAAAAAACAGGACTGGGGATGTAGCTCAATGGAAAAGCACTCTTGGATTCAATCCCTAGTACACTGCATCTCTCTCTCTCTCTCTCTCTCTCTCTCTCTCTCTCTCTCTTTTTTCTTAGGAGTTACAGGATAATAGGAATGATCGCAAATGTAAACAAAATCCCTTCTAATTTCTCAACCTTTTCGAGGTGGTGGGGAGGATAGAAACAAGGAGATTTTTTTTAAAAAAGAAGTAGTGAGAATCTTTAAATTCTACCTGGGCAGCCTTAAAACAGTAAACATGGGATTGATGTATTATCCTGATGTATCATAAAACAGGTAGTTGACTGTTAGTACAGGAAAGTGAAAAGCTGATGATCTACTTAAAATGTATTCCTTTCTCTCTTTTCCCTCTTCATAAAGGTATTTAAAACCACAACAAAGTGCAACCACTTCAGATGCCCAGAGAGATGCATAGATGTTTTACAAAAAACGTACGGGGTGTGAGAAGTGGGCTTCCCAAACTCCCAGGATCGTAAGCATATGATAATAAAACAGAGACTCTGAGTAAGGCAGACGTGGAGGCTGAGAAAAGGGGTCCGTTGAAAAGTTCCAAGTGACAGCGCGGCTATTTACCACTCCMCGTGGTCGATGGGACTGTAAATGTCGGTCTCCTAAACTCATCAGGAGCGGTCGGCTATCCACGGCTAGTACCGTGCAGGGCAGGGAACCACGACCTGAAGCCCCAGCTAACCAAAATAAACCCCAACCCGGTGCCAGGCGGGAAGAAGCACGGCGTGGGGTTCAGTCTGGCCTTTCCAGCGCACCTGCCCGGGGCCCGCGCTGCCACGCCCCGCGCCACTCACCCGCGCTCTTCTTCTCCACCCTGCGCATGCGCTTGAGCCGCTTGAGCATGCCGCGCAGGTCGGTGATGCCATACTGGAAAGCGATCTTCTCGTACTCGTTGGGGTTCGCGTTCTTCAGCAGCTCCCAGACGTCTACCTCGGGCTCCTCCTCCTGCGGCTTCACCTCCCTGYCCGGGAGAACCATTGCCTAGTTTAGTAGCTGCTCTGGCTCCCAAAGACACGGAAGCTCGGGTACCCTGTCCCACTTTTCGGTTGCCTTAAAAGCTCTGTTTTTAAACCTGGTTATTTCAAGTCGAATTGTTTGACTTGTTTTTACTCCCCTGCCCCTTTCTTTTTTGGAGGTATTGGGGATGGAATCCCAGCCCTTGAGCATGCCAGGCCAATGAAATTTTGGAGACGGTTTCAATAAGTAGAACGTCCAATATATGCTTTTGTTTTCCTAATTAAAAACACAATTTTAGGGGAGCAGAGGATGTCAGGAAATATACTGAAAACATTTTAAAATGTAATTGGAAGTGAGATTTTGAATGGTTTTCACCTAAGAGATGGGTATTGCATTCATTCTGAAAGTGGGCAAAAATCTGAAAGATTTAAAATTTTGGTCTAGGAATGAAAAATAACCGATTTCTATGTTATTAATGTGCATATGGATACAAAGGCAATTTTTTTCAAATCTTTGGGTTTTGCCAGTAGCATTACCCTTCTATATTAGAAAGTGTATACATTGACCATTTTTTATTTTTATATTAAAAAATCGAAACTACCATGAAGACTTTTTTTTTTTCCTTTTTAAAAGAAAATTGTTTTTCCAAAATGGCAGGGGAAAAGAAGGGTGAGATGGAAAAAAAATCCATTTTCATCTTAACATACCGTCTTGAAAGTTTTTTGGAAGAAGGTTGAGGTAGAATTATAAACATATAAATGTTAAACTTAAAATGATGTAGGATTCCACGAACAAGAGGAAAGTATATTCTTAGGACTATTACCAAAATTATGAGCTCAAAATTTGATAACATCAAAATGTATAAACATTTATAGAACATATAAAAATATATAATATTTAAAGTGCCCTTGTTTTCCCTATTTCAAAACTCCCTGGGATAAAGACTTTGAGAAAAGGGGCATAGTATAAATGCAAAATATAATTTAAATGGATTTTCTTCATTGTCTAAATGGTTCTAATTTTGTTTAAGCTTAGTTGACTATTTTTATCTGATTAATTTAAAAATGTTACTGTGACTACTTAACATTTGATTTGGATATGATTTTCCAGACAACTGGTCAATTCATCTTATACATCAGTAGGAAAACAGATTCATGCTATTGTGTTAGGGAATGATGGGTTACTTATGGTTGCTTTGTCGAATTAATCACACCTTTAGATTTTCTCCTTTATATTCTTTYGTCATCATGGGCAAAGCATATGGGGGAGGCTAGGAGTTTAAGGTGACTTTAGCAAGTATAACTTCTAAATATCTAATTTCGTTTTTATATTGTCATGAAAGTCTTTTGCACTCTATGAGAGAGGGGATCACTGAGGTCAATCTTCTGGAAAATGGAGGTGAGAGGTCATTGGTCCATCGGTAATCTTCATGGGAAAGACTAGACAACTCCATTAGGAAAATGGAACTCAAAAAACTCAAGACAGGAAGCATTATCTTTATCTCACTGAAATGAAAATTCACCCTCTATTAACATGAGGAAATTGAAGAGCTCAAGAAATTGTCCTAAGATTGGAATAGTGGTAATGATTTGCCAGATGTGCAAGCAGTCTACATTTCAAGTTCATCTTTTAAAATATTTTAGTAGGAAGTCTTGGGGAATTGCAGTTAAAATGTGTGTGTGTGTGTGTGTGTGTGTGTGTGTGTGTGTGTGTGTGTATCTTTCTCTCTGGGAAAAAATCTTTTAATGCTTTATTTTTTGTCTTTAAAAAATAAAAACTTTAAAATTATGCCAAACTTTAAAATTATGCCATACTAGATTGTTTAAAATTTGTATTTTAATTGAGAAGAATTATACACATGCACATTTTAAGTATCCTCCTGATATTGGTGGACAGATTTAAAGATAGCAAACTATGTATGATTTAAATAGCTAACAGGAAGCACAAGTCAAACACTGTGACATACCTAGATCTGTGAGGTGAATATTTATAAAAGGAGGCCAGTAATAAAGATAATAATTTTCTTGATTTCATTGTTTTATGAATCTTGATAAAATGAATTATCCTCAACAATTTTCACGGAAACACCAAGATACATGCCACTCTACCACATTCCCTACCAAATTCTGTATATGAATACCAATGACCTCTTGCTTTTTCCTTCTTTTTCTATCCATCACTTCATTGTATTCCGAATTGCAAACATATTGGAACGTGAGGTCAAGACTCTTCACTTGCAGCGTTTCCTTAACTCTAGAATGGATCTTTACTTACCATGGTGGCTGCACAGGAAACTAGCTGAATGGTATGGTAATTGCAGTAAGGAGAAAAATCAAAATTTCTGATTCCTTTCCATCATTGGCATAGACCTGTATAATGTCCACAGTACTTTCATCTACATCAAAATTTCTATAACTTGATGATCCTAGTGAACTATGAAACATTTATAGAAATTTTATGTAGAATAAGACTTTTAAGTATTTATATAGGTCTAATCCCACAACAGAATACAGCCCAAAAGATTTACCCTGATTTTATCTAATGTCTATTTGAAATAGACTCTGATCAGGGCGAGGAGATATTTTCTTTATACAGAGAAGTTGGGTGTAATTAGACTCATTCTGATGAGGATTTTGCCACACACTCTTGGGGAAATGGGAATGGCAACCATGTGTCATTACCATAATGAAAACATGCAATTCACACACACTAATATGAAAACACATCACATCTGAAGTTATAATAATGGATTAGTAGAGCATATTAAATGGACATAGTATTATATTAACAACAGTYTAATTATGAACCCAAATCTTTATTAGGGGATGTAGAGAAAATGAGAACTGGAGACATGTCGGCTGCCCATTTTTTCCTAATAATTTTTCTCCCATCATTTATAATTAGATTTCTTTCATTCTGCAATCTGCTGAATGAAAAAAAAAGTCTGTTTTGTTCCTTTTTAACAGACAGTGACATTTAATAATCTACCATATCACATTTTGATTGATTGTGCGTGTGCATGTGTGTGTGTGATTTCTTTATGAGTATATGCTCTTTGAAGGAAACATAACATTTTCCTAGTGGAAGTATGTATTGATTTGCCACCTACTATTAACCAGGCCTTTTATACTTAATTTAGTTTTCACAATGTCTGTTAAGTCGTATTATTCTTCACATTTACTGATGTGGAAAGCAAATCTCAGTGAGGACATATATTTTAATCAAAGCCACAGAATCAGTAGGTGGTAGAGTTGAGATTCAGGTCCCTGTTTTTGCCGCTCCCTGTTCCCTACTACAAATATGTTCATTCTTTTCTCTGTGCCAGGAGCTGGATTTCTTTCCCTCATATCTCCTGGCATTATATTCTGCACAAAGCACTTGGTATTTTCCTGGCAGAATAAATGATTGGAGGGTTTAAAAAAAAAAACAATACTCTGCTTTACCTAGATTGTCGACATGCATTATAAACCCAAGCACCAGCTTGCAGGGCAGATTTGGAGTAGTTTTTCTTACATAGARTCACAGAAAATGAGTTGACTCAGAAAAGGGAAACATGGATTTGAGTCCTTGCCCTGCCTCTAATTTCTGTGTGACTTGGAGTAAGTCACTCAGKGTTTCTCTGGACCTTGGTTTCACATCTATAGAATAAGAGAAAATGAGGTTCACTTAAGGGCACTTCATATACTGTTTCTTTAAAAATGCACTTGGGGAATTAATAAATATTACTGCAACTAGTGATTATTTGAGGTATTCAAAGGAAGAAACATGTAGTTGATATTGCCATGTCTATTGATTGACTAATGTCCATCAGTAGTTAATAAATCACACCTGTTAATATTCCTCTTCTGAACCTAAATGTTGTGAAGCGTATAGATGAATTTTTCATCCACTTGAATAAAACCATCCTGCTAAACTGAGAATAAACATGAGCCCAGTTTATTACAAAGATTATAATTTGTTGCTAAGCCATTTGTACTATGGTCCTTTAATAAGCATAGAAAGCACTAGAAATAAAAATAAACATTAAAATTTATTTAAAATAAACCTGAAAAGCTCAATGAAAACTGGTATCATTATTTAAAAATATTGATTTAGAGTTATTCTCATATTTGCTAGATAAATGCAGTCTAGCAAAACCCAATTTCCTTTTGTTGCTTCTTCACTATAGTGAGTATCTGGTAAAATGTATGAATACATGTATAGTATAGTATATTATGTGATATGCATATATCTGGTTAGAAGTCCTATGAAATGGTTATGTACTAAATATTCACACTAAAATTCTATAAATTTTATCAAAGATAGAAAAATATCAAGGGAGTGTGAGTGATAATATTAAACATTTATTTCCATTTTACTACCATGTTTTATTGCTTCTAAAATGTACATTTGGGGGACATTTTAAACATCTCTGGAATAAGGATGTGTTTTTATAATCAATAGTGTGTCATAATAGTATTTGGAATAATTTTTTCCTTTGTGATTTACAAAATACTGGTATGCCTTTAAATCAATAAAGTCTTGAATTTGAAGAAATATTAAAAATCATCAACAATATCTTAATATAGATCTGTATATATGTGTGTGTGTGTGTGTGTGTGTGTGTGTGTGTGTGTGTATCACATGCAGAGATGTCTACGAAAATTGTGAAATTGATTTTTCAGTCAGTTATCAAATGTTAAAGCCAGGAGAATAGAGGTTTTATTTATTCAATCATGAGAAAGAATCAATATGTACACTCTTAGGGACTTCTAGGTATTTAAGTCCTATGTCTCAGTTTTCAAATTTCTCCATCCCCAGATAAGAACATGTGTGAAAATTTAGGTACTTTGAAAAAGGAAGTTCAAAAGCATCAGCTGAAGTCTTTAACAGATTAGTATATAGTTGTTTCTCTATTTCTTAGTAGACTCTATTATATTCTATAAGCAAAACACATTTTAAGAATTAATAACTCCTTGGAAAACATTCACTTTAAACTTGACTTCTCTGGGTGGGTGTCTAAAAGATTTCCAGGCCACAGTGCCCCACTCCATCACTTGGTTCTCACCTACGTTTCAGGAGACCACTAAAGTCAAGTTCCCCTGCATCTTCTTGACCTTCTCCACTGTCATTAACAAAAGAAAAGCAAAACTAGGTTTAATGCAAACACATACATGACAGTTTTCCCAAAACACTCTACATGTAACGTATATGCAATTTTGTGCTGGCACACGAGGACTAAATCAACACAAACTACTATTTCTTTTCACACAAGTGACATTGTACGTCTTCAGAGTATGTACTTGTGGAAAAGTAAACAGGAGGAGCTTGTGTTCTCTACGATTTCAAAGGACACGATTTTGTAGATTGCATATATAAAATTGCTTGGATTTGTGTTAAAMCCAGGTAACACAAATGCACTTAAGCCAAGCAACACAAAGTTCTTTGTTTTTGCAAGTCCGGGGGCCATAGAAACAAACCTGTGTAAAAAGCAAAGGACTTTTGCTGATCTCTGTTATTCACATAGGACAGAGATTGGCTTGGAGGTTGAAGTATACCAATGTCAGATATATAAGTACAAAGCCTTATATTCAAAGGTAACCTCTTTGCGTCCATGAATAGATGAATCAGATAATGTGATACCAACATAGCATAAAGATGGAACTAGCATTGGAGCTTTTGAAAAGATGCATTCCTTTCTATTTTAAAGGGATTGCTCTTTAAGTTACAGTCTTTTGATTTTGTCATCAATATGCTTTTAAAGGTATTTTAAAAATTATATCTTTGATTTTGTTAATGAACTCTTAGTCAGTGGTTTTTAAAAGTACTTTCCTCTAAAGAAATGCATCTTAAATTAGGCATGCAGCCACCATTGTGATTTCATCTGAACTCTATATAGAAGCTATGGAGTTGACATTTAAATGGTACATACTTACTTACATGTTTAACCTTTTAATGAAGATTTTGTTTCCTGCTCTTTACAAATGTTAGTTATGGTTTCTAAGAAAAGAGTCTGTGGGTTTAAAAACAGTGTGTATAACATGTAAGTCATAAGAATTAAACTCAAGTAATGTGTTTTCAAAACTGTAGGTGTTTAGGGACCTTTAAGTGAACCAATTTCTAGTCTTTTAAAGCAAAGAGATCATGTCTTTCCCAAAATATCCTCTTATGTGCCAGGAGCATAGCTTTAGACTTATGCATTTGCAAAATATGGGGTGAAAAGGGAAGCTAGAAAAAAAAGTAATGGAGTTTAGGAGTTTGACTTTTTTTTTTTCCAAGTAAAAAACACCATTGACTCTCAGGTGGTATTCAATATCTTTTAAAAGTAATTATAATTTTGATTTTTTTCATAATTTAGGAGGGAAATATGCCTTCTATTAACAGTCTAAATCATTGTTTCATAATAACAGGGTGTTTTGTAATTTTGGATGACTTTCCTTACTCAACAAAATTGTATGTGTATTCGGTTTTAGGAAGGACAAGACATGTGGTTTCCTTAAAGAATTTATATATTGCTATCATTAAAAATAAAGGGTAACATAGTGTCAGGGAGCTAGTTACATGTCTCACTGACTAGAAAAATTTTCATTTTTCTTCCTTGACACCCTGATTTTTCAGGCTTGGCTATTGCAAAAATTAAAGTAAATAGGTGTCTAAATTTTGCTGTTCAACAGGAGAGAGAGAGAGAGAGAGAGAGAGAGAGAGAGAGAGAGAGAGAGAGAGAGAGAGAGAGAGAGAGAGAGGAATTGAACCCAGGGCCTCATTCATGCTAGGCAAGCACTCTACCNAGAGAGAGAGAGAGAGAGAGAGAGAGAGAGAGAGAGAGAGAGAGAAAGGAATTGAACCCAGGGCCTCATTCATGCTAGGCAAGCACTCTACCACTGAGCTACATCCCAGGCTTTTGTAATATTCTAAATGCCAGCTGTCTCAGTGTATTCCATTTAGTATAATCTAATATTATAAGGTGCTAACTTTAGTAAGTAGCTACTTGTTGTGKTTTTTCTGGGCAACTGGTTTAATAGGCCCATAGGTGATATCCAGATGAAAAGCAATGAAAATAAAAGTTTTCTCATGTTGTTTAACTGATGCTATAGGAAACATGTCTCTTTGAATATCTCATTGGGCTACTTTGTGGAAATAAATGCAATTACGGAAGAAGCCACATAAGAATAGATTGAAAGTGTATCTTTCTAAGGCAACTGTGAAACTCCAACAAATGGAAGCTTCACTACAAGATTATTCTAAAAAATCATCAGTGCATGCTTGATTGGGCATTTAACACATGAATTTCCTAGAACACCAACTTTTAAATAGGTGGTTTTTGATTTTGGTAAAAAGGATTGTTCCCACATGAAGTGTGGATGAAGGGAGGTGTGCTCTGAAAAATCCCCCACTTCATGTTATACGAAAGCTGTCTACATTCCCCTTTTGAAGTTACCTTCTCTTGAAGGCAGATCTGATGTCAATGTTTGGAGTAGTCCCGGTAGATTCTTTGAAAGGAAAAAAAGCAATATAATAAATACCCATTAAGAAGGAAAATTTGTGTTCAGTTTCTTTACAGGCATGGGAATTGATCAATTGGAAGAGAGTCAGGTGAAGGGAACAGCTGTCCTACTGAATGGCTGAGCTGCCAAGGCACCATCCTCCCCCATGAAGAGCCTATGGAGGGACCTTAGCGATTACCTTGTCTAGTTGTCATTCAACCTACCTGCCTGTTAGAATCACAAGGAACTTAAGAAATATATCAGCTTCCTGATCCTGCCTCCTGGAGATTTTTATTCACCAAATCGGGAAGGGGAAAACATAAATCAATATTCTAAAAAAGGCCTCCAGGTGACTCTCAGAGATGTCTGGCCCTGAAAGTGAAGTAGTGCTTCCCGAAACCAGATCCCCACTTCATACAGAAGTCTCAACAGTTCYCTGATCCATTATGGTTCAGCCTCTCCTTGATAGCTCCAGATGGGGATCTCACAACCTTCCCAGGCTGTCTGTATACCTTTCATGAAACATTTAATCTTAATGTGAAGACAAAATTAGCCTCTTTTTCCTTTCCATCTTTTAATTCTAATTTGCGTAAATCCTTCCTGAATACATAGAAAGGACATTTTTCTTCTTTTATGTGACAGCCCTCCCCCCTCTGCTATAAGCCACCTATGCCTACTGTCTTTCACCCACTCACTCAAGCTAGATAAGGTGTGGTTTCTAGATTCTTCATCCTCCTGGTTACTCTACTCCAGAAGGAATCCAGGTTGAGCTATGGTACCCATGACCAATGACATCACTCCAAGTGTGGAACAGTAGMATGTTGAAGAGAGAAGTTTCCTAAGTATCAATTCTACACCACTTGGAAAGCCCAGTTTAAAATCACTCTATTTGACTTTTTCAGCTACATCACACTTTGGATTCATCTTAAGTTGATGATCTTTGCTGCCAAATCAACTTTCCCTTTGTATACATATGAAGGGCGGGGGGGGGGGGTCCTCCAACCTCAATGTACACATTTACATTTATCTCAATTTTATTTACTCTGGGTCATACACAGAGCATATAAATGGAGAACGTTCACATCTGACATTATTCCCTATAAAAGAAATTCTCCCTTCTACCTGGGCATCCTATGTCCTCACACCACATGACCTTATCTCCAAACCTGAGAGAGACAGCCATTGAAACAGCCATTCAGCAGTAGCAAAAATGTCACCATCCCTTATCTGGGAGCTTGAAGATATCATAGACCAGAGATACTTAGCAATCTTCCTCATCCTTTCCCACATTAAAAAAAAATCACATTTATCCAGATAAGAAGGCTCACCGTGTACTTCAAGATCAAATGAACAGCTGTCAAACTTATCCTTGTAGGTGACCTCACATCTGTAGTTTCCTGCATAGTTCTCTTTGGCCTTGATGATCTGCATCTCAAATGTGTATATCTGTAATGAAATATACCCAGATATACTATTGTTATGGTTTAGATGTGGTGTTTCCCAAAAGCTCATGTGGGAAAGGATTCGAGAAGGTTTGGGGGAGAAATGATTGGGTTGTGAGAGTCTTAACTCAATCAGAGAAATAATCCCTTGATAGGTTTAACTGAGTGGTCACTGAAGTGGTAGGGTGTGGTTGGAGGAGCTGGGAATCGGGGCGTGGCTTTGGGGTATATATTTGTATCTAGCAATTGGGACAATTGGAGACCTCTCTCTGTTCTCTCTGATCATGATGTGAACTGCTTCCCTCTACCACACTCTCCCGCCATGATGTTTTGCCATACCTCAAACCCCAAGGAATGGAGCCAGCCTTCTATGGACTAAGACCTCTGAAACTTGTGAGCCCTTAAATAAACTTTTCCTCCTTTAAAGTTGTTCTGGCCAGGTCTTTTAGTCACAGCAGCCATAAAGCTGATGAAAACAACTCTAGTCCTACCTTGCCCACAAGGGGCCATCATCTTTCAGTTATGTCCCACAGTGGCAGAGCACAGCAAGATAATCACAATAGTGTAGATCCCGGGAATGTTAACTCCAGAGCATTTTCTAGGACTGAGATCTCTCAAAGCTAAACCTGAAGTGACTTCTTACCCACACAGAAGGAATGAGCTAGTCACACCCCTGAGCTGGGAAAGAGTTCAAAGCCATACCCGAGAGTGCCTCTCGAAGGTCTCCTTCAGCTGGAGATGCTTCCCAGCTTTGCTGGCCAGGTCCATCCATTTGCCTTTGAACCATTTGATAGTGGGTTTTCTAAGAAGGTCTTCAGCCTTGACTTTGGCTATAAAGGTGATGTTTTCACCTAGAAAAGGCACAAGGATTCGGTCTGTGATTTAAAACTGTCATTTGTTTTGCTTTCACCCAGAAGGAGTTGACCCAGGACCACTGAATAGACTGGGATGTGACKTGCATCTCCAGAATTCTGCAATGAATTGGCCCTGCTTTTTGATGAGTACCCTTGAGGTTCTTAGGATAGTTCAACTTGTTTTGCTTTTGAGTTTCATGAAGCAGAAAAAGAAGATTGGTGGAAAGAAATTTTACATATGGATCTACCTAAAATCTTAAAATTTTATATATACACATACATATACATACACATATATGGATATATAATATGTATATATAAATACATATAAATATGTTCTTTTTATTATGCAAGATGAGAGAACATCTGGAATTATAGGAATATGACTAAATGAAACGGTTTGAATTGACTGTCTGTGTATATTGACCTCTTGGACCTTAAGGACATCAAAACTTTACCCCTGCCACCAGCCCAGCATTTCAGTATCTTACAGGGACACAAGGGAGCCAACATTTTTGATCCCATGCAGTGTCCTGCATGCTAGAGCTGAAAGAAGGAATTTGGAAATATAGTTAGCTATGTGCTCATTCGCAGAATTTTGGATAAGCATCAAAGTTGGGTTCTGATCATAATATATTCCTCATAAAAACTGGTTAGTTAAAATTCTTGAACCTCCAAGGACTTTTCTAGAAGAACTATCCTGTTGATTTCTTTCATGGCACACAGACTTTGTGTTTTCCTGTTATTTCTTTTTGTCTCTCTTTTTAGACTCTGAGTACTCACATGTTATACTCAGTGTTCATCACAGTGCCTAAAACAGGAAGTGTAATTAGTATTTGTGGATGAATATTTCCAAAGCTGAACCATCTGTTGGACTAGCCACCCCTAAGGTATATTATGCATTATAATTTAGTACATAGGCAGACTTATAATCATCTTATGGGGMGGTTTATGCCATAGCAACAGCAGACACTGGATCAGAACTTTATGTTATCTCAAGTACTATCAAAGCACCTCACAGAGCGTGCCTGTTATTACACACATTTTACAGATGAGGAAACTGAGGCATAAAGAAGCTAAATGGTCTGTCCCATTAGCAAAAAGCAGATTCAAAGTTAACCCTTGAAACCTTATCCGTGCCTCTGATGTCCCCACTATAAAATAAACATGGGCTCATACCCTGTTTCCAGTGCTCTCTTTCCAGTGTGGAAGCTGACCTTAAGGTCGCAGAGCCCACCTGCCCTCGGTTTAAGAACTACTCTGTGTTGCATGATTTTTTGCTGCTTTCTTAGTTTAATGTTGCAGCCAGCTCTTTTAAACCCAGTTCATCTCGTCTATGGGAGTCGTGGGAAAGAATCCAGCCATAAAAAAGAACGAAGTACCAATACATGCTACAAAATGGATGGGCCTCAAAACCATTCTACTAAATGAAAGAAGACAGATACAAAAACTCATCTATTGTATGAATCCATTTATATGAAATGCTCCGAACAGATCAACCCGTAGAGATATAAAGCAGTGAGTGCCTAGGCCTGGGGGGAGGGGTAAGGGGAGTAATTGCTTAATGAGGCCCATGATCTGGAGGTGGTGAAATGTTTGGGGGCTGGATAGAAGGAGTGATTGCACAACGCGGTGATTATACAACAGCTACCGAAAATTTCACTTTAAAATGGTGAATTTCACCTCAGTAATGGGGTGGAGGGGGGTGGGACTTAATTCGAGGTACTCACCCACTTTCACGGTTCCTGTTTGAGGTTTTTCAACAAACAGGGTGGACAGCTGGTTATTGGCATTCTGCTTGTCTTGTTCCTCTCCACCAGCAGGTGATTCACCAAGAGACCATTCTAGAGGGCAGAAAGAAGAAAAAGGATCATTTCAAGGCCAGGTTCTTGTTAGGCAGACTTACCTGAGTTTGCTGTTCTCATCAACGCTGATGCTTTTCCTTGTCTAATAAACAYAGATAAATACAGCATCTTTCTTTGTGCCCCCAGCCACCATCACTAGAGAGGGACAAATTACCGTTCTTTAAGTAGATGTCTCTTCTCTGGTAGGGACAAAGGAACATTTTCTAATTCCTGGAAATAGTGAAAATTTTCCAATAAGTAGTTAACTCTGTCTTTCTGTCCCCTAACACATAAACAGTGGTAGGGAACTATTCAAACAGCAGGCTGTTTTTCCAAGTGACTGACTAGTAGGCCACATTTGTCCAACAGAACTTGAAAAGATTAGAGACAAGATCAGTTTAAGAGTAAACTGGCCGACAAAGCTGAGATAGTCCAGCCTGGCCTGCTATCTCTAGATTCCTTGTTATTGTATCACCGGGCAATTCTATTAGGGTTGTATAGATGTGGCAATAGTTTGACAATTAAATAACAGGATCATGACCTGCAGGTATAAATTTAAAGAATAGTGGAATTATCCTGCAAGGAGGAGAAAAAAAAAGAAAAAAAGAAAGAAAGAAACTGAGGCTTTCCCATGAAGAGAGACAGGCTGGAAATGAGGTTTAGTTTGCACCCAGGTGTTTGGTTGGTATTAATCTGTAGTCAATTTCAATAAGGAGGACAGGAGAGTGGACTGTAGACACTTCCTCTSTCTCTGAGCTGAATGCAGAGAAGATCAGTTTCAGTCTCTTAGTAACTGGAAAAAAATGCATGGGTCACCAACTCTACTTGTTAATGGGTCTTGAAAAGAAAGTGCACATTTAATTAGTTTAGTCTTCACGTATCAGCCATGCTCAGTGCGAGGTACTTGTARCTACTGGACTCCATCATTTTCACAGTGAAGTTAAACAAAGTCGTCACATGATTAAACATCTTTGAAAACCCAAGTTAATGTTAAAATTGTATGATTTTTGTGTCTATGATGTTAATAGTGACCATTCATGCTTAGAACATGAGGATAAGTATTTTTGTAGTTTCGATCACTTCTGTATGTAAGGTGCCTGTCAGATTGGCCGGCCCATAAGAGGCCCATGCTAGGATCCTATTTAAGCCCACAACACAAATTTGTCAAGTAAATGAACAACCAAATAACAGCACAAAATGGTAGCAGCGATAGCCGGCAGGATGCATTAGAAAGTGTTCCTATCATCTGTACTTGAAATACAATGTTCTAGACAAATGCGAACTTCAGAAAATCCTAGGAATGAAGATTTAATTCTGTGTGTTTATTAAATGTTAAAAATGTTGAAACAAACTAACTGGTGGGATTCGTGTCTAGATTCTTGAATGTGTGTCTAGTACATATCACAACAAATTAATTGTTTCTCAATACATTAGTTTTCTTGTAAGAAGAAACGTAATGGAAGTTGCTCTAAAGGCTCCGAACTGAATAAAACAAGGATTAGAATCAAGACAGCATCAAGTAACAAGGTCATTAGTGACTACATTAAAATGGGGTCAGGAAGCCTTGTCCGGCTGTGTGCTTACCTGAATCTTTTCTCTCCAGGGCCCGACTACCCAAACCTGAAAGGAAAGTGTGATTTGGAGGATGCAAGGAGGTCAGGGGAAGGATGGACAYGGAGGGCTGGCTTCAACCTTCTGGGACTCCCCAATACCCTGTGTCTATGATGTTAATAGTGACCGTTTCTTTCCCTGCTGGTGACAGGGAAAGAAAAACTAGAATTTGACTTGGATGGAAAATTGGTAGAGCTCCAGCCATAAAAGAATCTGTAAACATCTATGTCTTCTTGAAAAACAATAATAAAATTTAAAAATCCAAAATATCTCAATTTAAAGATCAGGGTAAAGGATCTATCTGTGGAAAAGGAAGAAAAGACAAAAGATTTTTGCCCCTAAAATTTATATTCAAAATCTACTACTCTTAACTACCTTTATTTTACAAAAAAAAAAAAAAAATCCTCCTTTGAAAATGTTCTCCCATAAAACAAACACAAATCTGCTTTTAAAACCAGGTTTTTCCTCTTGGTGCACTAACTCAGCCAGGCACCCTACCTTGGCTTTTCCTTTACTGTCAATCAATAAGATAGGAAGCGGGGAAAGGGGCAGGAATCGTCCTAACCTGGAGGCAAGGCACTAGGTGGGGAGGCTTCGTCTTCCTCTGAAACAAGAAACAGGAGTAAATAGTCAAGGAGGAAAGGACTTCATTCCAAGTCACCTGAGAAAAGAGAAATCTGAAAAAGAAGAGGAGAAACTACCAAAACATTTTCAACCACGGAGTAAGCCTAGACGACTAGGTACCTGAAAGGTTAAGCAAAAAGAAAAGAAAAAAACAAGGAAGAAAAGACAATAAAGGATGAGAAAGTAAGGTAACCCATAGATTAAATGAAAATATAAATTAATTAAATTAACTAATTAAATGAAAACACAGATGAAAAAATGGAACTCTATGAAGAGCTTTATGTGACTGTTGTTTAAGGAAAAATGGATGCTAAAAATCAAACCGTGGTGAATTCAGCCTTGAAGGTGATTTTTGAGTTCTATTCTGTAACTAAAGTCAATGACAGACATTATCATTGAGATATTACTAGGAATGGACACTGATATAAAAGCCTACATTACATGCATTTGGACACTGATATAAAAGCCTATAGGTACTATTTGAGAACTCATTTTCAGGCAGAAAACCCTATAATCCTCCTTCTGTCTTTAAGAAACAAACATCACAATTAATGAATATGAATTGATTTGTCTTATTTACTATTTTAGGAAAATTTTATAAGCATTTACCCCCAAATGATATTGGTATTTACCCATGCACATTTATAAAAATTCAAAATATGTCTTATAGTGTTTATGTGCAGAGGCACTGAATAGTCCCCTTGTTTAGAATATCTGAACAACAAAGTTCACGTTTTAGATGTGTGAAGAGGCATTTGGTATTATGGGAAACTCTGTCCCTTCCTTCCCAAAGCACAAAGACCCGCGATTTTATAAATAATCATTTCACGCTAAAAATACTAGAAAAGTTTTGAATTTCAATATACAAACATAAATGACTGTATAAAGCAAGATATAGAATATACATGTACATGACTGTTAATTAAAAAATACTTGTAAAAATTCCTGGGAATAAGAAGAAAAAAACAGCATATCTATATAATCTATCAGAATATTTACTACAGATTTTATTTAGCAGCCTGAAAAGTCTTACCCAAAACTTTCAACCAGGAATATCTCTTATTACTTTTAACAAAATAATGTAATACAGTGTATAAGGTCCCCCTAAAGATATTACCTTAGGACCCAAGAGGGAATTCACTGAGAACTCACAGGATTTGGGATTCTTTGGTGGAAGCTTTCAGTGGTCAAAGAAGCTTGGAAAATGCCAGGCTAAAGTTAAAAGCATATGTGTTTGTGTGATGTGTGTTTTAAACTCTATTTAAGATAGCATTCAATTCCTTTATTTTATTTATTTATTTTTATGTGGTGCTGAGGATCAACCCCAGTGCCTCTCACATGCTAGGCCAGCACTCTACCGCTGAGCCACAACCCCAGCCCGATAACTTGGTTTTTTAACCCAAAGTTTGATGGATGATAGTATCAATGTCCACTAAGTATTAAGACTATTTGGGGGACATGCACAATTAGTTTAGATCATTAAGGAACACATCCTAAAACAGTGCTTCAGGGGCCTATGAAATATTCTTTCTCTAGATGATACAACACACCCTCCACACAGCAGTGGCTTCTCGGTTGGCAATATTTAATTCATTCCCCATAGATTTCCTAATATACATAAGTATGAGATATTTTTGAAGCATCTCTTTGGTCCTGACATACTTTTCAAGTGGAAAATGGAGTTAGGATGCTGGGATCCTGATCTTAGATTCTTGAAAAGTTCCCCATGAAAATTTGGCTGAATTGGGTGAGACAGAAGCCAGGTTCTATCACTGGGAGGGAAACAGAATATCCAAATCTTGCAGGTTGCATGCAATTCAACAACATAGACACAGCATGTTACAAAAAACAAACAAGATCAAAAACTAAAATATGCTAGTCATATTTCCTTTTTTGTCTTTAAAAGTGACTAAAATAATAACAAAAATGTAGACATCCATTCTGGACTTGCTAGAATATGACATGAAGACCACAGCCGGAGAGCAGCCTGCTCTTTCTTCTAGCTGTGTAGAAATTCACCAAAGCAGACATTCACTCATATTGAGGTCGTGGGAAAATAACATTTGTAAAACCAAAGAGATGATTATTTTAAACAACTGAAGTTTCCAAGGAAGAACTCCTGGAGAGTAGAGAAAGATCTCAGCCTCCTGTTATAGGCCTGGGATTTTACTCTGTGATGAGAGTCTTGCTACTGGAGAACRGGGGCTGTGGAGGGAGCAGAGTGTGCACATTCTTGTAACTTTTCATTCTCTTGGGAAATGATATGGTAATTAGCACTTCCAAACTCAGTTCACTTTCCACATCTTTTCTCCTGGAATGTTCATTAACGTTCCATAAAACTGTGTATTTATGGAGGTATAGGTATTCCTAAGCTATCAAGAGAATACTGTTATTTCAGAAAGACTGTTAGATATTTAAAATTTTCTATAAAAATAAAATACCTTGCAATTTTTCTGTCATATTGCTTACTATAGATTTAATGTAGCATTCAGTACT